CGCTGTCTCTGGTCCTGGTGACCTCATCTCAGATAGCAGAGCTGCCTGGGTTGCACTTGGCACGTGGCGTGACACCAGGGGCTGAACTTGTTACTTTCCAAGCTGTGCAGCTGGTGTTCTAAGCCACTGAGCTATTCCTTCAGGCTCTGCAGTGTCAACTCCTTGTTTTGAAGCAAAGTGGGTTTTATTGAGGCTTATTTAGAAAGAGATGAGGGGAGAGTGCATGTTCGAGAAAGAACACAGGCTTCTCTGGCGTGGAAATAGGCAAGAAAGAAGCATCAAGACAAGTAAGCAAGAGACGCACATTCAAGGGAGGACATGAACTTGGAGAGCAAACCACGAGATTAGCTCATACCCAAATTTCAACCTCTGCCTTGACCTGGATTTCAGACTTGCCAGCCACCCCCCCACACACACACCAATTACCTGATTCCCTAAAATAAATCTCTCTGGAACTAGAGAGAGAGTACAAGGGCTTAGGAGCAACCCAGGTTCTAGCCCTGGCACCCCACATGGTTCCCCAAGCCTTACCAGGACTGATCCCTGAGCACAGAGCCAGGAGTAAACCCTGAGCACCACTGGCTGTGGCCTCCTCCCCACCATAAAAAGGAAGGAAGAAGGGACAGTCTGTGTAAAGGGCCTGCGGTAGGAGAGGGGTTGGTGTTTGCAGAGCAGGCAGGGCTGGGCAGAGGGAGTGAGGCTGGGGGAGGAACAGGTCAGCTAGGGTCCTGGAGTCCTGGGGGATTGGGTTCCTGTGACTTGGGGTGGGGCTCGGTGGGGGAGGAAGAGGCACATTTGCATCTTCTCTGCCTGGGTAAAAGCTCTGTGACCCTGGGTGCACCGTGAGACCTCTCCTGGGCAGGCGCTTGGCTGGACATGAGACCATATGGGCCAGGGTGGCAGCGTGACAGGAAGTTGCTGCTGCCTGATGTCGCGGTGGGGTGGGGGCAGCATCGGGGCAGGATCTGGCAGGGAAGGGAAGAGAAAGGTCAGCGTGATGGGTTGCTTGGTTTCCAGGTCAAGTTCGAATATTCCAGAGCTGTGGTTCCAGCCAGTCTCCAAATCCTACGCTGTCTGAGGGCTAGATGCCTTCCACGCTAAAGACCTCTCTGTCTATTCTTTCCTTGCTGTGGCCCCGAGATGTTCAGGAAGTGTTTGTTGAATGAATGTGTGCATGCATGCATGCAATGAATGAATGAATGAATGGGAATTCCCAGGCTCTCCCCTCTCTCGCCTCAGGGAGCCCCTCTATAATAAAGTGGGCGAGTCATTGCCCCGCCTTCCAGCTCTTCCCCGGAGGAGCTGGTCACCCCAAGATACCCGTGCCCACGTGCGCCAAGACTCAGAACTTCCCCACGAGCGTGCCCTGGATCCTGGTGCCCCCTCTCCCGCCCCAAACCCCAAATTACCTGTGGGGCGTGTGCCGGCCCAGATGCCTGTGCACCCAGCCTCCCTTAATGACACCTTGCCCGAGGTGGGGGGAGCCGCCCCTGCGGAGCTGTGGTTACTTTTTCCATTGCGTCAGGCCTGGGGTCCATCGTGCCGGTTGGCCTGCCCGCTGCCTGGCTGGCAGAAGGGCCCCCGCTCTGACGCCGCCTGCCCAGCTCCGGACATCATGTGCTCCCCGTTTCGGGGGTCGAGACGCCCCCAGCCAGAGGGTGAGTTGGGTATGGGGGAGACCCCTCCCTCGCCCTGGGGGGAGGGTGCGCCCCTTGGCCACCCCTTCTGGTTCACCGTCCCCTATGACCCGACTCTGGCTCAGCCCGGCCTGAACCAGTGAGGGGTGCCGGTGAGGCCGCCCCTGACCAAACCCCCGCCGGCCAGGGCCCCCGGCGTTCAGGTGAGCTTGCACCGTCACCTGTGTGCCTGCGCGTGTATGATGTGCTCCCAGGGGCACGTGCGGACCCCGGGCGGGTGTGGCCCGAGACCCGGATGGGACTTGGCCACCAGGAGGAGGCTACCAGCGCCCACGGGCTACAGAGGAGGAGGGAAAGCTGGATCCCATCCCGGGAACCAGTGCCCTGGCAGTGCCCGGGTCTCGCCCTGGGTGCTCATTAAAGCGGGTCAGTGGTCCGGGCAGATAGGACAGGGGTGAAGGCGCTCGCCTTGCAGGTGGTGGGCTGACGAAGTTTGATCCCTGGCACCCATCGGGTCCCCTGAGCATCCCCGGGAGTGATCCCGAGTAGAGTCAGGAGGAAGCTCCAAGCACAGCTTCTGTGACCCAAAATATTGAAGGTGTGTGTGTATATGTGTGTGTGTGTGTGTGTTGAGGGGAGGATTGGACAGTGGCCCTTGGGCCTCCCTGTCCACTGTCTCCTCTAGCTCAGGTCCCAGCCTGCCCACCCGGCCCCTCATCCTGGGACTCTGGGCTTCAGCCTCCCACCTGCGGCTGCTGGGCCCTGACGGCCTTGGTCCTCAGCTTCCTTGTCTGAGCCATGGGGCCGAGTTCCCTGCCAACCCCAGCTCTGGGCAGCCGTGCGAATGAACAGGTGACTCTTGGGGCCATGCCAGGGCTGGGGCATCCCTCTGCCTCCCCCCTGCTCGCGGGCTGAAGCTCCACATCCCTCCCCGAGCTCCAGGCAGGGCCCAGCGCTCATCAGAGCCGCCTCTGTGATGGGAACCAATTTCCACAGAAGGAGAATGACCCCCGCAGGCAAATTGCAGTGCTGCCTGGGTGCTCTGGGTTGGAGTGATTATAATGAGGTGCCTGGGCGGGGGGGGGGGGGGGGGGGGCATCTGGGGGCGGGCTCTGTCGCCGGCCAGATATTCTCCTACTGCTAGTCCCTGGCCCCAACCCGCCCACACTTTGCCTGGGCCTCCTGCAGGTGGAGGCTGGGGTGGGGAGAGGGTCCGAGGGAGAAGCATCCTCTGGTGGTCTCCTCCTGGTTGGCCTGTCCACCACTTTTCCCCACGCAGACCGGCTGAGCTTATGAACCGTGGTGCAGATCACGTCACCTCCCGGCTACAGAGCCTTGGAAATGGCCCCGGTTCTCAGAATAGAACCCCACTTCCCTGGGGCCAGAGCAATAGTACAGCGGGGAGGGCGTTTGCCTTGCATGTGACTGACCGGGGTTCCATCTCTGGCATCCCATATGGTCCCCCGAGAACCGCCAGGAGTAATTACTAAGTGCAGAGCCAAGAGTAACCCCTGTGCATTGCTGGGTATGACCCAAAGGGAAAAAAAATAATAAAACATGGTTTAAAAAATATAAAACAAAAATCCCCACTTCCCACTGGGGCCTACAGTGCCCCTGGACCGGGGTCTCTGTTCCCCAACACCACCAACCCTCAGGTCGACTCTGCTTCGGGAGGGTGAGACCCCACCACCTCCTGCTGCAGCCCCGCACAGTACCTGGCACTTGAAGATGCTTGGGAAAGCCTCCAGGTGAATGAATGACCCCTACCTCTACCCCACGTATCTCCCGGAAAGAAGCAGTGGTCGGCCCGCAGGATGGATGTGGGTCAGAGGCGTCCTGTACGTGCTATGGATCCAGTTTTTTTTGTTGTTTGTTTGTTTGTTTGCTTGCTTGCTTGCTTTTTGGATCACACCCAGTGATGCTCAGAAGTTACTCCTGGCTCTGCACTCAGGAATTTCTCCTGGCAGTGTTCAGGGGACCATATGGGATGCTGGGGATCGAATCCGGGTTGGATGCATGCAAGGCAGACACCCTCCCTGCTGTGCTATGGCTCCAGCCCCTGGATCCAGGCTTAGAAAGGGAACCAGCCCCTTCTCCCACCAATCTCGTCCAGGGCAGGGCAGGGCAAGGTCAGCAGCCACCCACCCCGCAGGGACCGGGCGAATGACCAGAGCAGGAGCCGCAGCCCAGCCTTTGTGGGGTGGACACGTGCGTTACACCACCCTGTGTCCATGCAAGTGAGGGCTGGTCTCAGAGTCCCCTGGCAGCCCTGATGGTGCTGGTGCCTGGGCAGATGAGAAAACAGGTTCGGAGAGGACAGGGCTTGGCCGCCGGGCCTGTGGCGAGTATTCTTGCTGCCCTGGACACGGGTTTGTCCACATTTGCTCCAAATGAGCACCTTGATGTCGGAGGAAACTCAGAAGTGCTGAGAAGCAGCAGATGCCCGTGATTAGCCTGGAGGGGGGTGGGGTGGGGGAGTGTTCTGAGTCCACGGCACAGATTTCAGAGGCGGCCTAAGGTGAATGGGGACCACCTCAGGCAGGCCCAGCCGGAGGGGTTGTCTGTTAGCTGAATGCTACATCTCTATCTTTTCTCCTACACAGTCACCGTGTGACTTCTGTGAGTGAGTGTCTGGGGGGCCACGTCCACTGTGATTTGTTTCTGATCTGCAGGGGCCACTTGCCCCGGGGTGAAGGTGGCTTAACTCAGAGGCTGACGCCATGGTGGCTGGAGTCACACACCGTGTGCTTGCAGCCGATCCGGGCTCGAATCCCGGTACCCCGTGGGATCCCTGAGCTCCCCCAGGAGTAATTCCTGAGCACAGAACTAGGAGTAAGGCCTGAGCGGCGCCAGGCATGGCCTCCCCAAAATAAACCCAAAAAGCAGCGTTGAGCTTCAGAGCTGGACCTAGTGCATCCACCAGAGGCTGTTAATTTCTTGCATTTTCTGCGTTCTGGGGTTGGAGCACAGTGAGTAGAGCGTTTGCCTTGCATGTGGCTGACCCAGCCTACCCGAGTTCGATTCCTTCACCCCTCCCGGCAAGCTACCGAGAGTATCTCGCCCGCACAGCAAAGCCTGGCAAGCTACCTGTGACGTATTCGATATGCCAAACACAGTAACAACAAGTCTCATAATGTTACTGGGCCCGCTTGAGCAAATCAATCAACAACGGGAAGACAGTGCTACAGACAGTGCACTGCGTTTTCCGTTCTCTGGAGCTGGCCTCTGTGTCACTGTGTCACCCGGGCGGCTCCGACACCCACCTTCCTCATCAGTGCACAGCAAGGTCAGGTCGTGACACCTCCCTGGGGGTCTGCCTGACCTCTGACCCAACTCCTTCCCCCTCCTCCCCCACCCCTGCAGATTGTCAGGAACTGCTGCCGCCGCCCTCCATGGCCTATGTCCCGGGTGGGGGAGCCCCTGCGGCAGGGGCTGTCCCCGTGGGCTCCCAGTACTGCGTGTGCAAGGTGGAGCTGTCTGTGAGTGGCCAGAACCTGCTGGACCGGGACGTCACCTCCAAGTCCGACCCCTTCTGTGTCCTTTTCATTGAGAACGATGGCAGATGGATGGAGGTAAGCCCCTCTCCTGGGCATCTGGGGGGCAGGCGAGGTGGCAGGGGGCATGGGCAGTGGGGCTTTCCTGGTCAGACCTGAGCATTGCTTAGAAAATTATTGGTAGGCGAGGTGGGGAGGAGCTCAAAGGGCTGGACCCCAGGCTTTGCACGCCGGAGGGCTGGGCAACCGTGAGGTCCCCTGAGCACCCCTGAAAGTGACCCCTGAGCACTGAGCCTGGAGTAGCTCCTTGATACCTCCTGCGAAGGCCCCCCAACAGAACATAAAAATAAAATTAAAGGGGCTGGAGCAATAACACAGCAGGTAGGGCGCTTGCCTTACATGCGACTGTCCCGGGTTTGATCCCTGGCATCCCATATGGTCCTTGCAGGAGTGATCCCGGAGCACTGAGCCCGGAGTAACCTCTGAGCATGCTGGAAATGGCCCTCCATTTTTTTTAAAGTAAAATTGTTGGGGCTGGAGCGATAGCACAGCAGGTAGGGCTTTTGCCTTGCACGTGGCCAACCCGGGTTTGATTTCCAGCATTCCATATGGTCCCTCAAGCACCGCCAGGAGTAATTTCTGAGTTTAGAGCCAGGAGTAACCCCTGTGCATCTCCGGGTGTGGCCCAAAAAGCAAAAAATAAAATAAAAATTAAATTTACAAAGATCCCAAAACAGAGTCCAGCTGGTAGGGCATTTGCCTTGCACGAGAAATGTAAGATCATATTATTATGCTGATCAGTTCATGCAGGGCATGCTCCTACCCGCTGTGGGGTTGCTTGGCCCCGAGTATTTAAAACCAGCGACCGATCAATCCCTGGTATCCCATAGGGTCCCCCAAGCACTGCCAGGAGTAATTCCTGAGTAGTGCAAGGCTAGGAGTAACCCCTGAGCATTGCTGGGTGTGACCCAAAAAGCAAATAAAATAAAATAAAATAAAATCAGCGACCAAAGGCTCAGCTCTGTGGGTTGACCACGTGCTTCTGTCCACCTTTTCTGTCATCTTTCCCTCTCGGTCCTGCACAGCTCTGGTCCCTGGGCGTCCGAGGCCCTGCCAGTCCCTGCCGTGTGGCTTTGGGCCAATGCCGGCCCTCTCTGAGCGTGGCCCCTCCGCTGTGTCGGTCTTCCCTGCCCACCCTTGGCGAGCCTCAGAGCTGGAGGCTTTGAAGGACCCCCCAGCTGTTTGGCCTGGCTCTGACATTTGGAGTGAAACAGCCAAGGAGCAAACAAGAGCGACCCCACATGTGAAGACCGTCAGGGTTGATTTCATTTCCCTTTGGACCACACCCTGGTGGTATTCAGGGCTCTACTCCTGGCTCTGTGCTCAGGGATTCCCTCCTAGCAGGGCCCGGGGGACCCTATGGGTGCCAGGGATCAAACCCAGATCTTCCATGTGCCAGGCAGGTGCCCTCCCGCTGTACCATCACCCCAAGACTTTCAGGTTTGTTTTGTTTTGTTTTTTGTTTTTGCTTTTTGGGTCACGCCCAGGGATGCACAGGGGTTACTCCTTCCTCTACATGCAGAAATTCCTCCTGGCGGTGCTCAGGAGACCATTTGGGATGCTGGGAATCGAATCTGGGTCGGCCGCGTGCAAGGCAAATGCCCTCCCTGCTGTACTGCCGCTCCGGCCCCAAGACTTTCAGGTTTTAAAGGACTTTGCACGTCTTCCGAATGGGGCCTCGAATCCCTGTGGACAATCTGGGGGGACCCAAGGCTCATGGCCTGAATGGCGCTGGGTAGTTTTGAGGTCACACTCCCCGCCGTGAGTGAGGCTGGCAGACTTTGCCAAGAAAGTGTCTGGTATTTGTAGTGACTTACCGGGCAGCTCATAGTGTAACTGTGGTTTAACCCCCCAGATGTGGGCTCCCTCTGACCACGCTGTGCCGTGGGAGAAGGGCTGAGTGGGTGACCCCTTTGAGGGAGGGGAGCTCCCGGGTCCTGCCCCCCGGGGCGGGGCTGTCTCCTCACCCTGTGATGCTGTGGGACTCCGAGGGCTCGGGCAGCCCCCCCTTGCTCCTGGTGGAGGCTCGCACTCCGTCTGCAGCCCCACCCTGGGCCCTGCCTGCCCTCCCCGCCAGTCACTCTCCCACCGGGCCGGCCCCTGCTAAAAATAACCCCGGACGGGCTGGGGCCTCCCATCCCCACTGCCCAGGCCCTTGGAAGTGGACTCGGGGGTGGGAAAGTCAACAGAGCCTGGGCCCCAAAATAGATTCCCGGGGTGGGGCCCCCTGAGTCAGCAGCCCTGGAGGCCGGGCTCCTTCCCCAGCCTGGCTCTCACCATTGCGCCGGACCTCGACCCCGGAGCTGCCGGGAAAGCTTCTTCCCAAAGGAACAAGGATAAATGCGCCAAGGGCCTGTCCACTTCAGCATGGAGAAGTGGGGACCGAGGCCCGGCTAGGACAAGGGACTGCTTCATCACCCCCCAACAAAGCAGCTTCCCCTGACTCCCACCCAGACACCAAGATTTGTTTTTGTTTTTGTTTTTTGCTTTTTGGGGCACACCCAGCGATGCACAGGGTTCATTCCTGGTTCTGCACTCAGGAATTACTCCTGGCGATGCTCAGGGGACCATATGGGATGCTGGGGATCGAACCTGGGTCGGCCGGCTGGAAGGCAAGCACCCTATCCGCTATGCTATCGCTCCAGACCCGGCACCAAGATTTGGAGCCAGCAAGTGCCCACGTGCCTGCGTGGCCGCAGTGCTGTGTCTCGGACCCCGTCGGAGCTCTGGGCTTCGGGGCCTGCCTCTGGGTGCTGGGCCATGGGCCCCGAGAGCCTGGCCCTCCCAGAGTGGGGGGCGCCCTCATCCCTCAAAGGAGCCTCCCCAGCGCCTGACCCCTGACTCCTGACCCCGCCCTCCCTCACGACAGTTGGACAGGACAGAAACGGCTGTCAACAACCTGAACCCCGCTTTCTCCAAGAAGTTCGTGGTCGACTACCACTTCGAGGAGGTGCAGAAGCTCAAGTTTGCCCTGTTCGACCAGGACAAGTCCAGCGCGCAGCTCGATGAGCACGACTTCCTGGGCCAATTCTCCTGCAGCCTGGGCACGGTGGGTGCCCCCGCCCCCCGCCCCGTTGTCTGCGCCCAGAGGCCCCCCCCCAGCTCCAGGCCTCCCACCCCGCTTTAGTGGTTCTCTCTTGTCTCCCCCATTTTCTGGGGGACTCTGTAGCCTATAGCACAGAGCAGGTAGTGGCCCGGCGGGGAGGTGCGGGGACAGAGCTCCATGTTGGGGGTGTGTGTGGGACCAGGGAGGTGGCCCCAAGGACCGTGTGTGCTGGGCATGCGGGAGCCCCAGTTCAACCCCCCAGCACAGCATGGGTCCCTGAGCCCCCTGGGAGGGCCAAGAAAAAGCAGACCCGGAGCCCAGAGCCAGCCAGCCAGCACTCCCAGGGGCGTGGGGACCCCCAGGCCAGAACTGTGAAATAAACGGGCTGTGGTCTTGACTTCCTGTGGGAGGAGTGTCCCGACAGCCAGACTCTGGCAGTGTGACATTGAGCAACTTCCTGTACCTCTCTGGGCTACCTTTTCCCCATCTCACTCTGGTGAGCTGATAGAGGCAGGGATGTGTATGTGTGTGTAGGGGGGGAGGTATGGGGGTTCATCCTTGGATTCCAGCCATTGTTCATGGTGGCGTGTCTGTCCCTCTCTGGACCGCGTCTCACTCTCTGCCTCAGTTTCCCCCAGCTGCACTTGGGGACAGCCTCATGACTGGCCTCTGCAGCCTGTGCTTTCAGCAGGCCTCTTGGGTCACCCCAATAGAGGTTCGACAAGCAAGGGCAAGGGACAGCACGGCCATGTGAGAAGTGGGGTGTGTCCCTCTGGGTCTGTACCTCCAAGGACCAGGAGGTCCGGGGCAGGGGAGGGGTCAGGGTCTGACCCCAGGGAAGCCTTGTGTCCCCGCCTCTTTCTGGGGAGGCAGTGCAGGGTCCGGGGCAGCTCTCCGTGCCTGAGCCTGGCCGAGGCAGACGAACATCCCACCCCTCCCAGTTTCCCTGTGCTCTCCCGGGCCCGGTGGCTAAACCCTCTCAAGCCAGAGTACAGACAGACAGTCCCGAGACCAGGGACCCGGAGCAGGTGGGGGAGGCAGAAGGAGGCCAGGCTCTCTCTCCACCGGGGGCCGGTCGCCCACATAGTGGGGGGTCAGGGGCCTCCTGTCTCCTGGAGGTGAGACAGTGCCTAGTTGGTGAGGGCTTGGCAAGGTTCTCAGCCTCTGTGGGTCACGCCTCTTGGGTCCTCCTGTTCCCCCCTGCCCTCTTCTAGCCCTCCTGATCCCACCTATCCCCTCCCAGCCCCTCCTGTCCCCTTCTTCTTTTTTTGTGGGGGGGGGAGTCACACCCGGCAATGCTCAGGGGTTACTCCTGGCTCTGCATCCAGGAATTACTCCTGGCGGTGCTTGGGGGACCATATGGGATGCTGGGAATCGAACTCGCGTCAGCCGCGTGCAAGGCAAACGCCCTCCCCGCTGTGCTATCGCTCCAGCCCCTGCTGACCCCTCCTGACTCTTCCTGGCCCCTTTTTTTTGTTGTTGTTGTTGTTGTTTTGGGGCGGTCACACCCGGCGATGCACAGGGGTTACTCCTGGCTCTGCACTCGGGAATTATTCCTGGCTGTGCTTGGGGGACCATACGGAATGCCGGGGATTGAACCCGGGTCAGCCGCGTGCAAGGCAAACGTCCTACCCACTGTGCTATCGCTCTAGCCCCCTCCTGGCCCTTCCTGGTCCCTTCTGCCTCCTCTAGGCTCCCTGGGACCGCGGCTCATGTGACCTGCCGCCTGCCTGGGTCCCCCGAGCAAGGCTCCCTCCGAGCTGGCAGGGAGGGGTGAGTCCTGAGGAGAACGACCCCCCTGAGCGCCCTCTCTCCTCTCGCACACCCCCAGATCGTCTCCAGCAAGAAGATCACTCGGCCTCTGGTGCTAATGAACGACAAGCCGGCGGGGAAGGGCCTGATCACGGTAGGCGGGTCCCTCCCTGCCCGCTGCCCTCTGCTCCCGGCTGCTTTTCTCTTTCTGCTTCTCCCGCAGATCATCCGCTTTGTTTGGAGTAGAAAAGGCCCAAGTTACAACGTAGCAACAGGTCGCCTAGCAACGGGCTTGCTCAGGCTGCAGGCTGCAGGGTGGGGGGGTGCAGAGCACCCTCTGCCTCAGCCTCAGGGTGCAGGGGCTGCCACTGAGACCCCCGGGCTGGGGCACGGCTTCTCTTTCCTGGGGCAACCCCCACTCCCACCGCCCACTCCCCAGGCTGCCAGGATGCCCCAGCTGCAAAGCCCAGCAAACCTTGCCCTGGCCCTGTGACTCCTGGGTCCCCCAGCGGCCCCCAGAAGGCAGGGGAGGCCCGTTGGACAGATGGGAGAAGGGACGAGATAAAGCACCCCTCCCATGAGCCTTTCTTGGGGGGCTTCCTTCAGAGCCCGCCTGACCCCTGAGGAACCGCAGGGCACCAGTGTCCCTTTGCTCAAGGGCTTCGGGGTCACATTGTCCTGCTCTGGAAACTTCCAAGCTCCCTTCATCTGTGGCCCTCACCCCAGGGGGTTCTTAGCAAACACGGCCCCTGGCCAGACCCACCGCAGGGACAGTGGCTGCTTGGAAGGGGCCCGTCCCCACCTCCCTGATGTCAGGGCTGGGCGGGGGGGGGGATTGTCTCTCCCCTCCTAGACATCCCCCCTCTTCCTAATGTGGGGACTCTCTCCGGATGTGCTCCCCGAACCCCCTGCCGGTTTCCCATCTTCCTCACTGAAAGGGGGAGTGGCAGGAGCCAGCCCTGGGGGTGGGGCGCCCCCAGGTGGGGTCTCCCTCATCTATACCAGCCCGACCCGGTTGAAGTGCGTGTGGCTGGGGGGAGCATCAGGGAGATGGGGGGCTGAGAGATGCCCAGCCCGGGCACAGGGGCAGAGAGGCCCAGCAAGGCAGAAGGGAGGGCACTGCAATTGGATGGCAGCTTCTGAGCCCCAGCCTCAGTTTCCCTGGCAGCACATGGGAGATGCTGGAATATCCGGTACCTTCCAGGCTGCGGTTGGGGCTTGAGGGGTTGCCCATCAGGCTGACCCTAGCCAGAGGCTCTGTCTAGAACCCAAGAGCAGCCGCTGGGGCTCAGCCCTGCTTCTTGTGCCCACGTCCAGACCCCTCTCTCAAGCCAGGGGAGTCACTTCCTGACTTTTCATCCAGATGCGCCCCCCCCACCCACACCCTTTTCTAGAACATGGAAATGGGGACTCAGAGATTAGAGCCTTGTCCAGGGTCTCCTGGCACACCCCCTGCCCGCTTCCTGCTAGTCCTGGGATGGGGCTGCCCCGGGAGTCTGCGGGCAGGACCAACCCGCCCCTCCCCTGGCCTTGCAGATCGCTGCCCAGGAGCTGTCGGACAACAGAGTCATCACACTGAGCCTGGCGGGCAGGAAGCTGGACAAGAAGGTGAGGCAGCAAAAGAGAGAGAGAGAGAGAGAGAGAGAGAGAGAGGAGAAAGGGAGGGAGAGAGAGGGGCAGAGAGAGGGAGGGAGAGAGGGAGGCAGAGAGAGAAAGAGGGAGAGAGAAGGCACGCACACAGAGGGAGAGAAAGAGAGGGAGAGAGAGGAAGAGGAAGAGAGAGACAGAGAGAGGGAGGGAGAGGGAGAGAGAGACAGGGAGAGACAGAATAAGAACGAGAGAGAAACAGAAAGCGAGAGAGGGAGAGAATAAGAAGGAGAGAAAGAGCGAGAGAGGGAGAGAGAGAGGGAGGGAGAGACAGGGAGAGAGAGACAGGGAGAGGCAGAATGAGAGAGAAAGAAACAGAAAGCGAGAGAGAGAGAGGGAGAGAGCGAGAGGGAGAGAAAGCGAGAGAGGGAGAGAGGGAGCAAGAAAGGGAGAGAGAGGGAGAGAGACAGGGAGAGACAAAACGAGAGAGAAAGCAAAGCAAGAGAGAGGGAGAGAAAGATCGAGAGAGGGAGAGAGAGGCTGCCATAGATGCAGGCTGAGGGGGGAGGTTGTGGGAGGGAACCTGGGGACACGGGTGCTGGGAAATGCGCACTGGTGGAGGGATGGGAGTTGGAACATTCTATGACTGAAACCCAATCATGAACAGCTTTGTAATGGGCAGTCTCAGGGTGGTGATTTAATTTAAAAAAAAAATTGAAATAATTTTTAAAAGATAGTAAAAATCCAACATAAAAAAAGAAAGAAAATAACAGCCCCAGAGAAATGTTTAAATAAGATGAGGCAGGCCAGGGAGGGATGGGGGGGGCAACATCTCTCTCCCAGACCCAGAGGTGGCACAGAGCCCTTCTGCCCCGCCCCCCCCCAGGTCAGGACATCACAGATGGAATTTATTTTCCTTCACACGGACGTTATATAGGGCACTGCCGGAGGCCTCCTTCCTCCCCAAGCTGCCCCCTCACTCTGAGGGCCCATCCCTTTCCCATTAGGGCCCACTGTGGTGCCCTGACATCACCCTTCCACTGTCCTTCATGCTGATTCTGCTGAACCTGCCTCCTTCCTGCCCCAGGATCTTTGCACTTGCTGAATACTCTGCCTAAGGATTCTTTTCCCTGAATATTCTCCTAGCAGCCTCCTCACCTCCACCGAGTACCTCCCATGGCCCTTCCTCAGCAAGGCCAGCCCAGAAATGGTCTGGCTGTCTTGATTCTCTCCTGCTCTCCAAGCCCCCACTCTGCCTTTCCTGGCCTCCTGGCACTGATGGCCCCTAGTCACAGTATTAGTTTACCTCTTCCTAAATTGAATGTAGCCTTTCTAGAGGAAACCTTTATTTATTTATTTATTTATTTGAGATAGCACAGCGGTAGGGCATTTGCCTTGCGCACAACTGGCCAATCTAGCCAGGTTCGATTCCTCCGCCCCTCACAGAGAGCCTGGCAAGCTACTGAGAGTATCTCGCTCGCACGGCAAAGCCTGGCAAGCTCCCCGTGACATTTGATATGCCAAACACAGTGACAAGTCTCACAATGGAGACGTTACTGTGCCCGCTCGAGCAAATCGATAAACAACAGGAGGACAGTGCTACAGTGCTATTTATTTATTTCTTTATTTATTTATTTTTGTGGGGTTTTTTTTTGGGGGGGTCACACCCGGTGATGCACAGGGGTTACTCCTGGCTCTGCAACTCAGGAGTTACTCCTGGCGGTGCTCAGGGGACCATATGGGATGCTGGGAATCGAACCTGGGTCAGATGCTTGCAAGGCAAACAGCCTCCCCGCTGTGCTATCCCTCCAGCCCCAAGGAACCCTTTTTAAATTTTAACTTCAATGGGATTTTTCAGACACACCGTATTCCTTTCAGTGTGAACTAGGAGTTTCAGATTTCTCTAAAGTTAAAGTCCCCTGTAATTTTCCCCACTCCAAGTCCCCCCTACAGTGGAGGGGCTCCCGGTCCCGATGCTGGTGACAGCCGGTGATGCTCTGGACCTGGGACTCAGGCTCCCATCACCCCCAACAGGGTCCAAGAAGGCGCTTCCTCTTGGCAGGACCTTGTGATTGCAGGGGGCTCCACCCTTGGTCCCCAGCCTGGCACTGCCGCACCCCCGAAACCTGAGCGTGAACTTTGCCCCCTCATTTCCATCTGTTGCTTCTTCCAGGACCTCTTCGGGAAGTCGGACCCGTTCCTTGAGTTGTATAAGCCGGGAGATGACGGCAAATGGATGCTGGTGCACAGGACCGAGGTGGGTGTGGGGGCCGGGGCGGGAAACCACCCCCCTGCCACCTGGGGGTGACTATTTCCTCCCTGCCCTGTCCCCTCCCTGTCCGTGTCCTGGGGGTGGGCCTTGCCCCCTGAGCACGGCCCAGGTGATCAAGTACACCCTGTGTGCAGGTGATCAAGTACACGCTGGACCCTGTGTGGAAGCCGTTCACGGTGCCGCTGGTGTCCCTGTGTGACGGGGACTTGGAGAAGCCGGTCCAGGTGAGGGGCCTGGGGTGTGTGTCCCCCAGGGCCAGCTCCAGTTCCCAGCTGCGGGGGCTTCTGGGCAATCCCTGGGGGGTGGGCACGGCCGGGAGGGGGGCAGGGTCCTCTTCCTAGGGCCGGCTGGCTTTTTTCCCTGAGGAATCGGACCATGACCCCATTGGGGGGCCACAGAGATAGGACAACTGGTAGGCACTTGCCTTGTACACAGCCGAGCCGGGGTCCTCCCCCAGCACTGAGCACAGAGCCAGGAGTCAGGCCTGAGTCAACTGAGCCTGATCCCCAGATCCAACCCAAACCAAGCAGGAATGCCGTCTGCCCCGAGCTGCCGGCTTGGCTAAGGAATGCAGAACCTCCTTGGTCGGACACAGCGAAGGAGTGTCGCTTTGAGGGGCGGGTTGTTCGTCTCTCGGACCCCCAGACTCAGGGAGCAGCTGGGGCGGGCCAGGGAGCTGGGCCAAGGCAGGGATGCCCAGAAAGTCACCGGAGGCCTGGCCTCTAGATCTGGGTCAGAGGCCCCGGGGGACTGTGAACAGTGGGGCCTTCCCTCGGGGCCTCGGTTTACCCGTCGGCCAAGTGGGTGCAAGAATGGCCGCCTTCCGAGGGCCGGGTTAGAACACTGGGGGGCTAGGCTTCTCTCTGCCCACCCCGGGGAGAAAGATTGGGCGGGACTTGAGGCCAGGCAGTGAGGGGGAGGGCTGCCTCATGGCCAGTGCTCTGGGGGAGGTTTGTGGGGTCCAGGAGTGCTGGTCCTCAGGAAACCCTGGATCAAGCCTCATCTCCTGCGCACCCAGCTGTGGCTTGAGTGCGTCCAGCCCCAAGAAGCTCCCAGCATCCTTCATGGGGTTGCGGCCACCTTGTTCTCTTCCCAGTAATCCTGGAGGACTTTTTGTAGGAGGCAGTTGAGGAGCTCTTGGGTTCACCCCACGCCTGTCCGAAAGATGTGGGGAAAGAGGGAGGCTCCGTCCAAACAAGAAGATGTGGGACCTGCCCGGGCTGTCGAGTGCGGTGGCGGGTGAGCCCTGGCTGGGGGAGGTGGCTCCGGAGTCACGTCTCGGGGGCCCCCGCAGGTCATGTGCTATGACTATGACAACGATGGCGGCCACGATTTCATCGGCGAGTTCCACACGTCTGTGTCACAGATGTCTGCAGCTCAGGACGGGGTCCCGGTAAGATGCATGCGTTCGTGACCCCTGGGTGTCCGCGGGACTAGAGAAGGACTCCGGTGGGTGGGGAGGAGGTTGGGAGAGGCCCCTCCTCTCGGCCGGTCCGGACTTGCACCTCATCTTCCTGAGACTCGGGCTTGGAGCGATGGGAGAGCGGGGAGGGCGCTTGCCTTGCACGTGGCCAACCTGGGTTCAATCCCCGGCACCCCCTAGAGTCCCCCGAGCACTGCCAGGAGTGATCCCTGAGCACAGAGGCACGAGTGATTCTTGAGCATCACCAGGTGTGGCCCAAAAACCAAAACCAAACCAAACCAGGATGTTCCCGAGTCTCAGTTTCCCCTTCTGTCAAGTCCAGCCAAGAAAACAGGGAGGCAGTTTCACAGACTGACAGAGGTAAAGGGCTTTTCCCAGAGACCCCCGCATAGCGGCTCCTCATAGAGACCCACGTGATGGTGATGGAGTGGGGGTGACTCTGCTGAATTGCACTGGCCCAGGGCCCCTCGCAGGGGCAGGTACAGCTGATGAGAGCTCAAGGTGGCCGGAGCCTTTTCGGGGCATGGATCTAGGAAGGCTTCCTGGAAGAAGCATCCTGCCCCTTCTCTGGGGCCAGTGCTTTGGAGGAGGTTTGGGGTGCCAGGGGAGTGCTGGTCCTCAGGAATCCCTGAATTGAACCTGTCCTCTTGCTTACCCAGCTGGAGTTTGAGTGCATCAATCCCAAGAAGCAGAGGAAAAAGAAGAACTATAAAAACTCGGGCATCATTATCCTGCGCTCCTGCAAGGTGAGTCAGAGCAGGGGCCAGGTTTGGGGGTCACCCGGGGGGTGGGGGGAGCATTCTGGACAAGGGGAGACACAGAACCTTGGATCTGGAGCCGACGAGGCCTGCCCTCCCTTCCTGGTTCCGCCATGTGTTGGCTCTGGGCCCTTCTGAGTTTCCGCTGCCTGGGCTGTGGTTTCCTCATCTGTGGAATGGGGACATCACAGAGGCCAGAGCGGGTCGGGTGGAGAGGCAGTGCAGGGGTGAAGGCACTGGCTTTGTATCCTACCCACACTGGTCCCCTAAGTGCCACCAGGGTCACTCCTGAGCACTGGGCCGGGAGTAACCCTGAGCACCACCAGCCAAAGCCTGAAAACAAAATTACAAACCGAGGAAGGGGCTGGAGCAATAGCACAGCCAGTAGGGCATTTGCCTTGCACACGGTCAACCTGGGTTCGATTCCCAGCATCCCATATGGTCCCCTAAGCATCACCAGGAGTAATTCCTGAGTGCAGAGCTGTGAGTAACCCCCGAGCATCGCTGGGTGTGACCCAAAAAGGGGAAAAAAAAAAACAAGGAAGAGGTTAAACAAGTGCAGGGATCATCTCCTGCCCTGCTCCCGGGTAGATTCAAGGTGGCCGTGAGATGGGAGGGAGGAGGGAGAGGACACTGCTCCTTGGGAGGCACTGCCCAGGGCCCCCAAGGGACAGACAGCGAAGGGAGGGTGTGCGGGTAACTGGGGCCCTTTTGGGTCAGCTGGGGCCGCGAGACCAGGATCAGGGGGGTCCCACCTGCCCCAGCCCAGCAGCTGAGTATCCGTGGGAATGGGCAGGACATGAAGGAAAGCAGCTGGGGAAGGTCACGGGGCCTAGAGTCCATCTCCTCGAGCACGGATGGAGAGTTCATCCCCACAGGCAGAGGGCAGAGAATCCCTTCCCATGGGCACGGGATAAGAGTCCGTCCCCATGGGAGATCCTGCCCACAGGCTTCCCTGGTCTGGAGAGTGGGTTTCCGGGCAGGTGCCCACGCACGCATGCTCCGTGCACTTCCCTGGTGCGTAGGTTTCCGGGCACGTGCCACAGTTGTCATCTTTGGGGGTTGTGGGCCCATGGCGGCCAAAGATGCCTTGCACGTGGCCAACCCAGGTTCGATTCCTGACTTGCGGTTCCTTCCAGATCAGCCGGGATTACTCCTTCCTGGACTACATCCTGGGGGGCTGCCAACTCATGTTCACGGTAAGGTGCCCCCGCCCTGTCTTGGGGCTCTGGGCTGCCGCTGGGGCAGGAGGGACGCGGGGGTCTCTACAGGCCCCCGTCCTGGGCGAGGAGGAGCGGTCTGGCCTCAGGCGAACACTGGGGCAGGGGGAGTGGGTGCGGGGACCTCAGCCCTCAGGCCAAGTGAAAGTTGGGCTCCCCCCACCCCTGCTCTAAGCCTCCCCACTCCCCTGCTGCCCTCCCTTCCAGGGACACTGGCCCTCACTGAGGGCTGGGCCCTGTTTCTGGAATGTTCTGCCTGACCTAGAGATGCCTCCTCCCCCCATGGCGGGATCCCCATTACCCTCCTTGGGCCCTGCACGGCCACCCACTGCCCTGCAAGGCCCTGGGGACAGGGACTTGTTCTGGCTCCAGCCCCTGCAGGACCCGGCGCTGGGCATGGCCACTGTTCAGAGCATGGAGCAGATCATCCCCTGCCAGGCCCAGACTGCCCCCCCCCCCCCCCCAGACTTTCTCTCCCAGCCTGTTCCTCTTTTCCTCATCCTCAGAAAAGCCTTGGGCCTAGGAGAGAACCAGCAGGAGCCCCACCAAGTTTTCAAGGACTCAACTTGTGGGCAGCGCCATAGCAGAGTGGGCAGGGCACTTGTTATGCATGTGGGTGACCTGGGTTTGATCCCCGGCATCCCATATGGTCCCTTGAGCACCACCAGGAGTGATCCCCAAGTGCAAAACCAGGTGTAACTCCTGAGCATCGCTGGGTGTGGCCCCCCAATGAAAAACAAGTAAATAAAGGGTCACCTCTCTTTTCATGAGCCCCCTCAGTCCTTCCCTGTTGGCCACTCGTGCCCACTCCTCTGTGTGTCTGTGTGCCCCCATCAGGGACTGGACCAGGATCCCCTTGGGCCGAGAGGAAGGTGGTGCTGGATTCTGCCCCCATCAGCTCCATTCCCAGGGGTGGGGGGGGGGGCAGCTTCCCAGAGCTCTGTGCCTATCAGCTTGCCCTCTGGAGAGTGTCTGTCTTCTGACGGTGGGCAGCTGGGGCCCTGGGCTCTGAGGACGCTGACTCGGGTGGTGGCATAGGCTTCTGGGACAGACAGTGGGACAGCAGCGCCTGAATCGGGCGAAACGGGGAAAGTTGGGAAAGTCAAGGCCCGGGGTGTGCAGGGAGAGGGTAGCACCCAGGCACAGGCCTGGCCAGGAGAAGGGGCAAGGGTGGGGAGGAAGAGGAGGAGGAGGGGTTCAAGGCTGTGTATTGGCTTTGAGGCTTTCCTGTGGGCAGTCAGGGGCCCCAGGGGGCGTCAGGGCCAGAGGATGCACTGTGTCGGCATCTAGGTCTCGGGTGGGCTGGAACTGGGTCTCAGCTGGACGGGGGTAGCCGGGGTCTCTGACCACTTGGTGGCCTCTCCCTGCCCCGCAGGTGGGGATAGACTTCACAGCTTCCAATGGGAACCCCTTGGACCCCTCCTCTCTGCACTACATCAACCCCATGGGCACCAACGAGTACCTGTCGGCCATCTGGGCTGTGGGGCAGATCATCCAGGATTATGACAGGTAAGGGCTGCCCAGGGCTCCTGCCAGCCCGGGGAACTGCTTGTCCGAGCCAGAAGCTACCAGGGGATCACGGAGTCAGGGCCAGGCAGGACAGAGCCTGCATGCCGTCCAGGGCCTTCTGGCGCCCGAGGCAGACATTGCCAATCGAGTGCCTAGCCCTTCCCCGACTAAGCCCAGATCTTTCTGGAATCTTCTCCACAGAGTCAAGAGAGAAGGCAGAGGGGCCGGAGCAATAGGACAGTGGTCAGGGTGTTGGCCTTGCATGCCAACCTGACTGTGATCCCTGGCATCCCCTGTGGTCCCCTGAGCCCACCAGGAATAATCCTGGTACACAGAGCCAGGAGTAAGCCCTGAGTATGGCCATGTTGTGGCTCCCAAACCGAACAACCAAACAAAAACCAAAAGCGAAAATTAGAAAGAGGAAACAATGGGCCAGAGTGATAGCACAGAGGGTAGGGCGTTTGCCTTGCGCATGGCCGATCGAGTTCAATCTCCAGCATCTCATATGGTCCTCCATGTACGGCCAGGAGTAATTCCTGAGTGCAGAGCCAGGAGTAACCCCTGAGCTTTGTGGTGTGTGATCCCAAAAAAAGAGGAAACGGAATGTGTTTGCCTTTGCAAGGGCCTTTTCCTCCAATGTCTGGAGAGACAGCACAGTGGGCGGGGCATCTGCCTTCCAAGCAGCCAGCCCAGGTTCTATCCCCATATGGTCTCCCAAGCACCGCCAGGAGTGATCCCTGAGTGAGGAGCCAGGAGTCAGCCCTGAGCACCACCTGGTGTGGCCCCCAAGACAAAAATTAAAAAAAGGGAAAAAAGCTGGTGGTCTGGAGGTGGAGAATTTATCCCAAGTCATGTCAACTAGAAGACAGACATTCTGACGCCTGGGCCCAGCCTCCGCTGAGCACTGTGGGGGAGCAGTGAGTGGGCACCCTTGTCCCGCACCTATGTTCCTGCAGATCTTGATGGGGTGGATGGCGTGGGCAGTCACTGAGGGAAGCAGTGCTGAGGGCGCAGGGCCCTAGGGTGGGCCCAGTGCAGAGTCCAGAGAGCCCTCGGGGGCACAGAGGCACTGGGGGATAAGGGGGTGGCGTCAGGTCACAGGCTGCTTGTAGTACATCACGTTCAAGGGGTAGAAGAAGCAGGTGCCTGAGATTTGGAGGGACACCCTCAGCCCCTGTGGGCGCTGGACCTTGAGAAGGGCAGCCTGAGGGAGACCAGCACCTGGCTTGGGTGTTCTGGCCTCGGCGGTGGCTGGGAATCCCACCCGGACTGACCATGCAGGACATGGGATCTGGACATCTCCAGGAGTATGTCAGGTGGGGGAACCTGCTTTGCTGCTTTGTCAGGACCAGCTGTCCACTGGGCCCTTGGCTGGACCTGCTCCGGGGTCTCAGACTGCCTGGCCCCAGAAGCCCTGGACACTCCCCCCCGACCACTGAGTTTTGCCCCTCCTGTGTTTGTTCCCATATCAGAGAGGGCCCCACACTCACCCCCAAGCCATCACTTCCTTCTCCTCCTCTCCCACATCCTTAGCTTTAATACATTCTAGAATATTCAGTCACTTCCTCCCTCCGACCCCACTGCTCTCAGCCTGTCAGAGCCTCCATTCCTTCCCCACCCAGTCGTTCCAGTAGCTTCCTCCCTGGTCTGACCTGGGAGGCCGGAGCCATGGGAGCACCAAGGAGAAAGGGATTCCGGGATCTCAGGGAAATCCACGGGAAGAAGGGGCCATTTGAATAGGGCTTTGGAGGATGAAGAGGAGTCTGCCACAAGGCGCAGGCTCAGGGAGGGGCATTCCAGGAGCTGCGTAACCAGATGGAGGTGGGGGCATGAAGGTACCCAGCATGTTTCTGGGACAGTGAGTGGCCAGGGAGGGCAGGTGGACAGAGATGAGACCAAAAGCCCAGTCAAGATTTCCTCAGTGAGCATGAGTGGGGATGGGGGACCCACACGGGGTGCTCATTTTATTTAATTTGTTTGTTTATTTATTTAAAATTTTATTGAATCACCGCGAGATAGTTACAAGCTTTCATGTTTGGGTTACAATCACACAATGATCAAACACCCCCCACCACCAATATCCCCGGTATAACCCCCCCTTTCCCACCCTCCCCCTGCCTCCATGGCAGACAATTATTCCCCGTACTCTCTCTCTACTTTTGTGGTGCTCATTTTAGAGGAATTTTTCCCGACTGTAAAAGAGACGTTGGGAAGCACCTGGTTATTGCCAGTCCCTGACTGCTGTGGCTTCCTGCTCCCAGTTGGAGGCGCTAGAAGCTGTCCATAGCCACTGGGGGTTCTGGGCTGGACTAGCAATGTCTGCTGCAGGTGTAGACGCAGTCTCGGTCCTCAGAGGAGGGTTCCGGCTCAGCAGATGTTTCCAGTGTGATTTTTCCTGGAGGTCACAAACCTGATCTTTCTGTGCCCAGAGGCCGAGTGGTCCCAGCCTAGCCTTACGGGGGTGCTTATGGGGGCTCGTGGAAGAGGGGCCTTGTCTGTCTGATTAACCATGTTTTTGTTCTCTCTCCGGTTTAGTGATAAGATGTTTCCAGCTTTGGGGTTTGGGGCCCAGTTACCCCCGGACTGGAAGGTGAGTGAGGCCGGACTCTTGGCCGGAGGGTCCTTGGGAGGGTGTCCAGAGGCCCTTTGGGATCTGTGTACCCCAAACCCACACTCATCAGCCTGAACCTGGTGCAGCCACTCGGGGGTGGGGTGGGGTGTGACACAGAGCCGAGAGTCACTGTGTCTGGCCCCTGGGGTCCTGTCAGGTGGGGAAATAAGATACCAAGTTTGAAAATAAAATGGATGGTCTCCACTTTTTAAGTTTGAGTTTCAGGAAATATTTTAGATTGCGTGTTCCACTTTAATAAAAAAAATCCTCCTTTATGACAGGAAGACATGATAATTACCGTCATGAGGTTCAAGCACAAAATAAAATTCAGTGCAATATGTCTTAGGTGCCAGGGTTGGAAACTTGGTTAGGTAAATGAGAACAGGCCGTACATACACTATGCTGGATTAGATGGTTTAAATTTCCTTATTTACATAGATTAAAATCATACAGCATTTAATCACGACAGATTTGCTTTCGTTGATTTATCTTCTGATATTTCCATTTGCCATTTCTTTAAGTTTTGTTGGAACGAGCAATAGGAAATCAGCTTGTTAAATGCCTGCCAAGGGGGCCGGCGGGGGGATGGCAGGGGCCCTGGGAACACTGGCGGTGGGATTGGTCTTGCGGCATGCTATGACTGAAACAGTTCTGCTGTGAACAGCTTTGTAAATCACAGTGCCTTAATTAAAAAAAATACATTAAAAAAATTTTTTTTAAAGAATGAAGTGTTTGTTCCAGTATATCCTGGGACAGAGAGATGCTATAAAATTTGCTATTTATCTGAGATTTGCTGTAATGGGGCAGACTGTATACTGTCAGGCAGCTCTACTTATTGGGGAAGGGGGGTGTTTGGGCCATGCCCAGGGGTGCTCAGGGATCCTGACAGTGCTCGAGGAACTTATTGGTGCCCGGGAAGGAACCTGGGTCAGCCACATGCAGGCAAAAGCCCCAGGGCCTTTGCGCGTGATCACCCCTGGCTAGTCATTGGCTCCTTCTCACGGATTCTACCCAGAGTTTCTCAGCCTTAACTCCCGAACTCCATAGCTCCAGCCCAAGCTGTATGTATTTACTTCTTCCCTCCCCTCTACTTATATCAAACCCAGGCCTCCTGTGTGCAAGACATGCCCTTGACTGAGCCAGATGCCCCTAGGAGACAGCCCTGAAGCCAGGCAGGGTCATCCTTACTGAGATGGGGCAGCACGGGCCTGGGTGAACCCAGAGGGAGGGCCCAGCCTGGTTAGGGGGCATCAGGGAAAGCTTCCTGGAGGAGGCAACAACTCAGACAAGGAGAAGGGGAAGTGGAGGTACACAGGGGACTCGAAAGAGCCATGGGGCAGAGTCATGGAGGCAGAGGGGTCAGCGGTGGCACCTGCCGCTTGGTCCTCAGCTCTCTGGGTTGGAGGATTTTAGCCCCATCTCAGGGAGTGGATCAGGCCAAAATCCCGGGGACCAAGGCAGCCTCTCTGGGAGGCCATGCGATGCCACAGGAGCCGGGCACAGGGCTGCTAGGGTGGCCGGGCCCAGCACGAGCCTGTTGCTAGGACACCAGCGGCTTTCAAAGAACTCTGGCTGAATGAGCTGTTTTCTTGCGCAAAAGCCTCCTTGGAAATGTCACAGGGCAGCTCTGGGGGGACGGAGGAGGGCCTGGCGGTGCCAGCAGGGGTGCCCGCACCTGGCTTGGACAGGCGGGCAGGCAGGGGCTCCATCCTGCCCCCCCTGCCCCCACGGGGAGACCCCCTCCAGTCCCTGCACCCTCACTGGCTGTCCCCACTCTCCCAGCTTCTGTCCAGACTTCTAGTCACTCCTGCCCCAGGGCCTTTGCGTGTGATCACCCCTGGCCAGTCATTGGCTCCTTCTCATGGATTCTACCCAGAGTTTCTCAGCATCTCCCGGCGGGGCAGCCCTCCCAGGTGCACTCTCGTGGGACCCCTCCCCGCCGCTCACCTCAGTCTGGGTTGTTTCTGGTGAATTGTTTCCAGGTTGGCCCTGGGGTGGGGGTGGGGGGCTTGTGTGGAGGGAAGCTGAGGCCGGGACCGAGCGCAATGGCGTGCTGGTTCTCAGGCTGGGGAGTTGGGAGCAGTGTGGAGCCTGCGACTCTGCTGTCTGCCCTGGGTACCGTAGCTCCCTGCACGGCCCGGGGCCAGGACAACCCCCAGACCACCCCGGGCCGTGGGGAGCAGCCTCAGAGGGCCGCAGGACAGTGGGGAGGGCCTGGTCTTGCATGCAGCCTGCCCAGGTGTGCTCTCCAGCACCCCATATGGTCCCCCAAGACTGGGCCCTGAGCACTGCAGTGTGGGCACCCCCCAAAAAAGGTGGGGGCATGTGGAATCCAGGCGCTTTTATGTGTCTTTCTGGGTGGGGAAACTGAGACTCAACGGGTGGGGGAGGGTGGCTGAGAGTCGTCCACTCCCCCGTGTCTGCTCCGTGCCGTGTTTTTTTTTTTTTTTTTAGCTTTTTGGGTCACACCCAGCGATGCACAGGGGTTACTCCTGGCTCTGCAGTCTTCCTGGTGGTGCTCAGGGGACCCTATGGGATGCTGGGAATCGAACCCGGGTCGGCTGCATGCAAAGAAAAATGCCCTACCCACTGTGCTATCTCTCCAGCCCCACTGCCGTATTTCTTTCTCACTGGCCGCAGCACGGGCAGCCGTGGGTGCCGGGGTGGGAGGCCCCTCACCGACTGGGCCACCAGCCTTGTCCTAGTTGGCGAGTTTACTGCTGAGAGGGGCAGTGCTCCACAGGTGGGTCCTGAGCCGCTCATGCCTCCCTCGGGGACCCCTGGCCCTCTGCACCTCAGTGTCCCCCGTGTCTGACCCTGTCACCTCCTGCTCAGGTGGGGCTCCCCCCACCCCACCCCCAGGTCTGTAAAAGCTTCTTGGATCTGATTTTGCAGGAAGTCGCTGGCCCGGGAAGGCCCGTTTCCCTGGCAACCATCTTCCCTCCCAGCCCCTCGTCCAAGCCCCCCCCCCCCCCGCTCCCCATCGCTGTAGAGACTTGCGACGTCTCCATGGCAACAGGAGACACTCTGACCCCCACACCTGGGGGACCGGGTGAAGAGAGTCCCTGGGACGTCAGGGGATGGGCCCCAGGCCGGGCCCCCTGGGCCGAGGCTGTGACAAGCAGAGACGTCCTCCTCTTTCCACGGAGGTACCCGCAGAGCCCGCGTCCCAGGCCACCAGCTGGTCCCCACCCATCAGATCTGAGGCCCGAGGGCCTTGGGCATCAGGACTGTCCATGCCAGGAAGCTCTGGTATCTTCTTTCCTTCTCTGGGGACCCCTCAGCCTGTGTGTGTGGTGTGTGTGTGTGTGTGTGTGTGTGTGTGTGTGTGTGTGTGTGTGTATTTGTAAAATGGGGTCCCTGGGCTGGAGCCAGCCTCGGGGCAGAGGGGTCTGTCCGGACTTATCTGGGCCCCCTGATGCTCATCTCAGCCCGGACCCTGGACCTCGTCTGAGTTAGTGAGTTCACGGAGTGTCAACTGACCTGTGTCCAGTTTCAGCTCGGCCCCTAAGTCAAGAGCAGCTGCTGGAACTTTCCAGTCCATCTGTGTTTGTTTGATCATCTGAAAAATGGGATAATAACAGGCCTTTGCCCAGAGGCCCCTTCTGAAGTGGGGGCGGCGTGGGGTGTGTGTGCAGGAGGCAGCGGAGAGAAGGGGCTGTGAGTGGGGAGCAGTCCCCCACCCATTTCAGCTCTCTCCCCTCTCCTGGGCCCCAGGGTCTGTGGCCCCTAACTTCCTCCTTGCACCCCACATGTGGCTGCATTATTGATGCTGCCATGGCCCTGGGTTCTTGTGGGTGTCACACCTGCAGGCTGATGGCGCAGAAACAGGCTCAGTGCCCAGGGTCCGGGAGAGGGAACAAGCCCCTCAGCCTCCTGCCCTCCAACCCCCCCTGACTTCCTGCTCCCCCAGTCCTGGGGGGGCGTGGTGGTCAGCCAACCCCAGGAGGGCTCGCAGGCAGAATGCCCACGGAGGGGAGGACCCTCCAGGCTCAAAGCAGGAGGCTCGAATTAAATTATGAGCCCACAGAGTGGTCCCCCCTTCCGGCATCGCTCCCCTCTGGGGGACTCTAAGAGGAGCCCCCCGCCATGAAGAGACTGGGGGGACGTGGGTGGTTTCCTTGGTTTCCTCCCCCAGGCACTGAGGGTGGGGACTTGGAGAGAGTGTACAAGGGGCTGAATACGAGCTCTGCATGCAGGGGGTCTGGGTTTGTTCCCCTGAGCACAGAGCCAGGAGTCACCTCCGAGCGTCACCGGATGTGACTCAAAATTTTTATGAAGACAGAAAAGGGTGGACCCCGGGAGCCAACTCCAGGAGGCCAGCAGGCAGAAGCCTGAGGGGCACCCCCAGCACCGTAGGACTCCCCCCCACCGCCTCACCAAGTGCTCACAGTGACCCTAGACCCCCTCAGGAGCACTGGGCCTGACCAACACTCCTGGGTCAGGCTAGGTGTCCCTGGGAGTGACCCTGCTCCTGACCCCAGACTCAGCGAGGAGGTGAGCACAGAGACGAGGGGCTCTCAGCAGAGGGTGCGGGGTCGCCCAGGCCCACCCCAGCATCTCCTCCCTCTGCCTTGCAGGTGTCTCACGAGTTCGCCATCAACTTCAGCCCCACCAACCCCTTCTGCTCAGGTGAGTGGCCCTCGCCCTAGTGCATCTGTTCAGGGTCATTGGGGGAGGGGGAAGGGGGAAGTGGGGGTTCGCGCTCTTGCTCCCATCCTCAGAATCTCACGTGCAGATCAGGAGCTCAGCGTCTCGCAGGCCTGGGTTCAAGGCCACTGGATGCCCTTTCCAGGCTGTGCGGCCTTGGGGAGATTGCTGTCCCTCTCTGGGCTTTTGCCTTCTCTCTGTCTCAGGGGGCTGGAGCGATAGCACAGCGGGTAGGGCGTTCGCCTTACACGCGGCCAACATGGCCGACCCGAGTTCGATTCCTCCACCCCTCTCGGAGAGCCCGGCAAGCTACCGAGAGTATTTGATATGCCAAACACAGTAACAACAAAGTCTCCAATGGAGACGTTACTGGGCCCGCTCGAGCAAATCGACGATCAACGGGAGGGCCTTTACCTTTACCTTTACCTGTCTCAGGGGGCGGCGACACCATGGTCAGGTGGGACTTGAGCAGAGGCCGGCGGGTCTCACACCTGCCTCCCCTCTCCCTCCTGCCCTGTCTTCCCTCAGCCTCCCACCCCCCATCCCCACCCCCACCCCGCCTTCTCCAGAGGGCCTTGGCACCCAGGGATTGAGGGGAGCGTGTTTGTGCTCACCCATCTCTAGGCTTGGGAGGGTTTTGATCTTGTTTCCTTGGCGGGGGAGGGTGCTGCGGACCACATACAGCAGTGCTAAGGGGTTCCTCCCAGCTCTGTGCTCAGGGTCACTCCTGAAGGTAGATGATCAGGAGACCAGACGGAGGTCGGCCGTGTGGAAGGCAGCGCCCACCCCCTGCACCCTGTATCCCAGACCTCAGAAGGTGTCCGAGACTCCTAAAGGGAGTTAAGAAACAGCTGGGGGGGGGGGGCAGAGGAGGGGAAAGGCAGTGGGCGCCAGCACCCAGGAGCCCCATCACCGCTGGGCCAGGCTGGGGATCACGGGAGTGCTCTGGGCCTCCCCTGCGCGGCCAGGGAGACTACCCCAGAACACACTAGTGGAACAGAGGAGGGGTGCCAGGCGGTGATGGAAGGGAGCTCCCTGACACTGTGGGCCCTTTCAGCTGGGGATTTGGCTGGAAAAAGCCTCTGCTGGGGAACTGGAACGATTGCACGCGGCCGACCTGGGTTCGATTCCCAGCATCCTGTATGATCCCCTTAGCACCACCAGGAGTGCTGTCTGAGTGCAGAGCCAGGAGGAACCCCTGTGCATCGCCGGGTGTGACCCAAAAAGAAAAAAAATAAGCCTCTGCTGTCCCTGGGGTCCCAGCTGGGCCCGCCTGGCACACGGGGGCAGTCCTTCCATGCCCTCTTGACTGAGGCTATGCAGGGCCGGGCCCTCACCGGGAAAGGTAGTCCCATACTGGTCTTGAGCTCCCGGGACTGGTGTCCAGGGTCTGGTTGGCCAGCATAGCCCTGGCCGGAGGCTCTCTGGACACAGAATGGGGGCATTCTCAGGCTCACAGTGGTGACTGCTCCCAGCATGGCCAGCAGCCCAGTTCCCCGGTGACCCTGAGCAGAGCCAGCACATGTCCAGAGTGGCTTCCCCAGCCCCAAGGCCACGCGCTGACCGCCCTGCCCTTCTCTAGGAAGATGCCACCGGGGCCTCCTGCCAGCAGCCCAGAGCACACGATGAGAAGTCCCTTTCATGATGAGTGACTCCATTGAATGATGAGTGACCCTCTTAAATGATGAGTGCCCATTGAATGATGAGTGATCCTTTTTTTTTTCCTTTTTGGGCCACACCCAGTGATGCACAGGGGTTACACCTGGCTCTGCTCAGAGGACCATATGGGATGCGGGGATTGAACCTGGGTCGGCCACGTGCAAGGCAAACGCCCTACCCATTGTACTATCGCTCCAGCCTGATGAGTGATCCCTTAAATGATGAGTGACCCCATTGAATGATGAGTGACCCCTTACATGATGAGTGGCCCATTGAATGAGTGATCCCCTTATGATGAGTGACCCACTGAATGGCGAGTGACCCTGTTAGTGCTTGCAGAGGCTCTGAAAACTGGACCACTTACCCCCTCCCACAACTGAGAGGGAACATCGGCAGAGCCAGGCTCTAGGCCAGAGTGGGTGCGTTCTGGGTGCTGCATGGCCCCACTGCCCGCACCTCTGCTGGGCCCAAGCCTTGAACCGCCACAGCCAATGGCCAAGTATCACCGGGAGGGGCCCCAGCCACCCTGAGCACTGCTTGGGAGGACCACCAAGGGAAACCCAGCCCCCCTGCTGAAGCTGTAGGCATCTGCCCTCCTGACTCCCCCACCTGACTCCCCCCCCTTTTGCTCCGGTCTCCCTGGTCTTCTCCTGGGGGGCTTCCTGTCCCACGCCAGCCACCGCAGGGGCACTTGGGGCCAGCCGGGACTCAGGAGAGCCTGGTCAGCGCCGGGGGTGGGCGGCGCGGCCAGACTGACCCCACACGTCTCTGCGCAGGCGTGGATGGCATCGCGCGGGCGTACTCGGCCTGCCTGCCCCACATCCGCTTCTATGGACCCACCAACTTCTCCCCCATCGTCAACCACGTGGCGCGCTTCGCGGCCCAGGCCACGCAGCAGCAGACGGCCACGGTGAGTGCAGACGCTCACGCGGACACGCGGGCTGGGGCCGACCCCAGGGTGGGCGGGGGGGGGGGAGCCCTGGTCCCTACACTCCACCCCGGAGGGAGGGGGGCTGCCTTTGCCGCTGCAGCATCCTCAAGGAGCCTCTCTCTGTACCTCAGTTTCTCTGCAGGTTTAGTAGGAAGGCGGGTCCTGGCACCCAGGGCACAGAGCTAAGAGGCCACACTGCCGTGGGTGCGAATCAGGGCTGGGGGCACTGGGAGGGGCTTCCTGGCTCCCACCTCCTGCTTGGGGCTGCTGGGCTGAGCAGTCAGGCCCCACAGGGTTCTGGGGCTCCTGACTGCCCTGAGGCCACCGGGCTGCTGTGTGGCTCTGGGCAGGGCCTTTGGCATCCTGGGCTGCTCAGGCTTCTCCCTGCCTCCCAGCTCCAGGCCCAGTGCCAAGGTTGGGCTGACCGGGGTGCCCCCGCCCACTGCCCCAGCAGCCCCCAGGACCTGCCCAGTCCTCACTCTCCCACTGCCCAGGTGCACACTCGCAGACTGCACCCATAGGCTGGGAGTGGGGCTCGGGTCCAGGGTTGGGGGCCCAGTCCTGTGATGGGGGCTTTGTACCCGCCTGGCCAGCCCCGCCCTCTCCTCTGCGTGCTCTGATGGTCCCCCCAGACTGAGCCTTCCACTCCCTTCCCAAAGGCTCACCCTGATTCCCTCCCACCCCCCAGGCAGGCAGGCCACACTGGCCAGCACCCCTGCAGGGTCAGTGCCCCCCAAGTGCTGCTGCCCCAGCTCGCGTTCCTGCCCAGAGGGGTCCACGAGAGCCTCTGACTTGGGCCTCTTGCCAGCCTCGGCTCCTCAGGGACCCCCTTCCTTAACTAGGAAGCTTCCGCTCCGGCCTCCTTCCTGCCCCGCTCTCTGCAGCCTTTGTTGGTCCCTACCTGGCCAGGCCCGGCAGCCTGGCTGCTCCCTCCATCATCCCCCCCTCATCCCCGCTGCAGGTCGCTCTCCTGGCTTTGCTTTCACTCACTCCAGCGTTGCTCCTCTCCGACCTCCTGGTGGCCTCCGCCCCATGGCTGGGGATGGGTGGCCAGTCCCCACTGTTCTCCAGGCCTGTGGCAGTGCTGAGTGGGGAATGGCGTGTTGGTTTCCCCACTGAGCGGGTGCAGGGGTCGTCGGTAGGGTGCTGGCCTTGCCTGTGGCCGACCCCACCAAGAGGAACCCCTGAGCACAAAGCCGGGAGTAGCCCTCGAGCACTGCTGAACGTGGCCCCAATTTTTGTTTTTTTTTTTTTTCTTATTGATTTAGGCTTTTTGGGTCACACCCGGCGATGCACAGGGGTTTACTCCTGGCTCTGCACTCAGGAATTACCCCTGGTGGTGCTCAAGGGACCATATGGAATGCTGGGAATCGAACCCGGGTTGGCCGCGTGCAAGGCAAACGCCCTACCAGCTGTGCTATTGCTCCAACCCCTGTTTTCTTTTTTTTTTTAAAGGTTTATTATGGGTCATACTTAGAGAGGCGATGCTCAGGGCTTACCCTTGGCTCTGCACTCAGGAATTACTCCTGGCAGTGCCAGGGGTGGATCCTGTGGGATGCTAGGGATTGAACCTGGGTCGGCCATGTTGGCTGCATGCAAGGCAAACGCCCTCCCCGTTATCCCATCACTCCTGTCCCTGGGCCCAAAAATTTTAAGAAAAATTTGAACAAAAATACAACAAATACGCCTGAGGAATGGGCACGCTTAGACCTGCGGGGGGGATAGGCGCGTCGCTCCCCCTGCTGTGGGCTGTGTCGGGGGTGGGCCGCGGTGGTTGCAGACCCCGACTGCCCCCTGTGCGGGTGCGTTAACTGACACAGGGCGAGGCCCACAGGGACCAACTCCCCAGTCCCTCACAGCAGGGTGCAGGGGGCAAGGCTGGCGCCTTGGGTGACCGCCACGTCTGGAACCGCAGCCCAGGCACTGGCGAGCAGCGTGTCAGCCCCTGGTGCGAGGTGGGAAGGCTGGAGGACGCTGGGTTAGCAGCCGGGTCCAGGGAGGCGGTTCTCTCTACAAATGGAGTATCTCAGTGCCCAGTGCTGTCCGGGCCCTTCCCGCATGTCCGGGGGAGGCCTGTTCAGGACAGGGTGGGCACCGGTGTGGGCCCGGGGCTCGCAGCAGGGGAGCTCGGGGCTGGGTTGGGGGCCCAGGTGGAGGCTGGGGTCAGTGCCGCCAGGATGGTAGGATACTGGCTGTGAGGGTCTGTTGGGAAGAGGTCCCCGTGGTCAAGCCTCCTAGGGTTGGAGTCCAGTCCTGTGCTGGCCCCTTCTCCCCTGGGGACGGGCAGGCCACTCCGTCTCTCTGAGCCACAGTCTCCTCTCTGTACCATGGGAACCCAGGTTGCCTGGAGGAGTGAGTTAGTGTTAAATGGGGCTGGAGCAATAGCACAGTGGGTAGGGCGTTTACCTTGCACGTGGCCGACCCACGTTCGATTCCCAGCATCCCATAGGGTCCCCCAAGCACCGCCAGGAGTCATCCCTGAGTGCATGAACCAGGAGTAACTCCTGTGCACCACCAGGTGTGACCCAAAAAGCAAAAAATAAATAAAAATAAAAAATGACACGACAGAACCTGGCTTGCTGGGACAGGAAGGACAGGCCAGGTGAGGGTGAGCGCAGGGCTGGGATGGGGCCGGAGGAAGGGGGCACAGAAGGAGGGATGGGCTCTCGCGCCAGCCCTGAAGGGGGCAGCTCAGAGCCCCGGACAAGCCCTTCTATGAAGTGAGAAGAAACTGCTGTGGTGAGGCTGGGCCCGAAAGGGGTGGATCTGGGAAAGGCTGGGGGTGGAGGGAGGAGAGGGGGTGACTGCCGGCTCAGAGGGGGTGCTGGGCTGGAACTGCCGTGTCGCTGTCTCCAGTGCTCATGTTAGAAGCACTGGGCTAGGGGCTGGAGCCATAGCACAGCGGGGAGCGTGTTTGTCTTGCACCTGGCCGACTCAGGCTCGATTCCCAGCATCCCATAGGGTCCCCCGAGCACCGCCAGGAGTAATTCCTGAGTGCAGAGCCAGGAGCAACCCCTGTGCATCGCTAGGTGTGACCCAAAATGCCTAAATAAAATAAAAGCACTGGGAGAGGGACCAGAGGGCGTTTGCCTTGCACGCGACTGACCTAGGTTCAATTCCCAGCATCCCATAGCACTGCCAGGAGTAACCCCTGAGCATCACAGGGTGTGACCCAAAGCGCGGGGAAAAAAAAAAAAGAGGAAAAAAGAAACACTGGGCGAAGTGGCTAATTCCCAGCACTCAGAGTCTGGAGAACTGGGTAAAGGCAGAAGGTCACTGCATCCCAGAAAGGTGTTTGGGTTGCTGGCTGCCCGGCCAGTCTGCCTCTGGAGCAGGGGAGGGGCATGAGTTGCAGAAAGGGTGTGTGGTGAGGGGGAGACAAAGAGGGAACAGGATGGCAGGGCACGGGGGGGGGGGGTGCGGGGCCCAGGAGTGTCCAGGGGAGCCCCTGGGGGACCCTGGAGTGTCCATGGGGGCCCTCTGCAGGGGTGAGCTCTGGCAGTGTTAGCAGGCTCAGGCGGGCCCCCAGCTCTGTGGGATAGAGCGACAGAGGCAGGAAGGGCACGCGGGCAGGAGGGAGCAAGCCAGCAAGGGCCTGGCAGTGGGGCGGTTCGGGGGACCTCAGGCTGGCCTGTTGGTGGGCACTGCAGAGCCCCTTCCGCCTCCCTTGCCTGATTCCACTCTACGTTCTCCACACACTCCTCCCTCCTGCTCTCCCAGCAGCAGGGGGTCTCCACCAGGCGCCCCCTGCCCCCATGGTGGTAGCAGACCTTAGAGGCTCCCCAACAGTCTCGGCTCGGGAGGGCTGAGCGGGGCTGAGCAAGGGAGGCCAGTCCTGGCGGTGGGCACTGGGGTCAGCTGATCTGTGAGGGCAGTAGCATTGGCTCTGGGCTTGGACTTGCCTGGGAACAGCATCGAGGCTCTGGCGGGCCCCTCCCCTGCCAGCCCCCCACCCTCCCAGGGCAGATGCTGGTGTACACCCCAGGAGGGCACTTCCCAGTGAAGCCCAGCGCTGGGGGCAGACTGAACCATTCCCGTCCCTGAGCCGCTGGTCCCCTGGATGCTCTCCCTGTCTGTGGGTGCTCCCGTGCTGTAGGCTGACGGAAATGGTGGGGGGCTGGAAGATTGCTGAGCTGGAAGGGCTTGAGGCCCAGGAGGGCATTTCCCTCCCCCTCACCAGCTGAGGAGCCCACCACCACAGTGCCCCACAAACCTCATCGTAGAAGTGGGGTTCAAGGCCGCTGCGGGGCTGGAGCAAGGCTGTTCTCTCAAGACATCGGGCCGGGATGAACTTCTGAAGCTGCCCTACCCTCAGGGTGGGGTGCTGGCTGGAGCCCTCCTCTTCAGGGATTCAGCTACCATCTCCATAGCAACAGGTCTCCTCGGTGGAGGGACTGGTCCCTTAAAGGCACAGTGCAGGGAAAGCAGGGACTTGGCCCCTGGAGCCCAGCATCAGGATGGTGGCCTTGGTTCGTGCTTGGGGAACAGGAGAGCTGGGGGTTAGGGGGAGGCTGCAGGCGCTGCCTTTGTCACCTTTGTAAGTTCCCCAGGCAGCAGATGGCTTTGCTGGGAGAGGAAGTGGCTGAGGGTGGACCTGGGGTCTGGCTGGGCTCCCCCGCCCCTCTTAGCATCATGACCTGGTTTATTTGGGCCCCAATTCCTCTCCTAGGATCCCAGAGTGTCAGACTAAAGGAAAAAGCCACCAAGTGAGCGTATTAATCTATGTATGGGACAGTGGGGTAAAACTGATACCCCCTCCCACCCCCGAGCAGTCAGAGAGCACCAGGCAGAGCACCGAGCACACAACCCGTCTCCCAATGTGACTCCGCCCGCTCGGAATCCCAGGGTCCCGGCCCCAGGTTCTTCCCAGAGCCTTTCTGCTCCCCCCTCCCCACCCTCAAGTCTACTCCGACTGTGTCGCCCACAATAGTGATTTGGGTTTTGAGGTGGTATGTTTCTTTTTTAAACTTAAATAATTGTATACAGAAACTTTCAACCCGCTGTAGGTGAAAAGTCACTTACCAGAAATAAAGTAGCAGTGGAAGTAGCTCCAGCCCACTGCGGATGACAATCCATCCAGCTCAGACTGTCTGTCGCCTCCCAGTGCCAGAGAAGGTGCGCACTTGGGAGAGGCATTCAGCCCTAAGCCCAGCCCTAAGCCGAGACTCAAGACTCCCTCCTGGGGACAGTCTGTGATCGCCACCCTTAGCCCCTACTGAGGGAGCTGAGCGTAGCACAGAGGGAGGAGGGCCTGTGTGCCGAGGGGGGGTGGCAGCCAGGATGCAGCCCAACATCGCCACGGGCAGCCCCACTTTGCAGAAGTTGCCACGTGGCGGGCGGCCCCACTTGTGGAAGGAGCCATGTGGCGGGCAGCCCCGCTTTGCACTAGGAGCCACGTGGTTGGCAGCCCTGCTTTGAGGGAGCCACATTGGCGGGCAGCTCCGCTTTGCACTAGGAGCCACGTTGTGGGTAGCCCCACTTTGCAGGAGCCACATTGGTGGGCAGCCCTGCTTTGCACTAGGAGCCACGTGGCGGGCAGCCCTGCTTTGAGGGAGCCACGTTGGTGGGCAGCCTCACTTTGCAGGAGCCACGTTGGTGGGCAGCCCCGCTTTGCACTAGGAGCCACGTGGCGGGCAGCCCTGCTTTGAGGGAGCCACATTGGTGGGCAGCTCCACTTTGCAGTAGGAGCCACGTGACAAGTAGCCTCACTTGCAGATGCGGAAAAAGCGGCACAGGGACTTGGGTCTCTGGTCTGTAATCTCACTGGGTGGTCACTGCCAAGCCCTGATTCCAAGGCCTTGAGAAGCTCCAGCGCAGGCATCTGGGACCCCAGCAGGACGGCAAGAGACAGCAGCCGTGCCATGGCTGAGCTGCAAGGGGGCACGGGCGTCCAGGGCACCAAGGCTCCCTCTGGGGAAGGAGCGTCTCTGCCTCCCAGGGGTCTTGAGGACTGAGGTATGGGGGAGGGGTTCCGGGGACCTGGGGCCTGCTGATTCGCTCCCCTTCCCTGCAGCAATACTTCATCCTCCTCATCATCACCGACGGCGTCATCAGTGACATGGAGGAGACGCGGCACGCGGTGGTGCAGGCGTCCAAGCTGCCCATGTCCATCATCATCGTGGGCGTGGGCAACGCCGACTTCGCAGCCATGGAGTTCCTGGACGGGGACAGCCGGGCGCTGCGCTCGCACACGGGGGAGGAGGCGGCCCGCGACATCGTACAGTTCGTGCCCTTCCGGGAGTTCCGAAACGTGAGTGTGGGCACTGGCTGGGGCGGGGGGTGGGGGGGAGGCACGGCAGGACCCCTGCAAGCACAGTCCTTCCCAGAAGCTGAACCATTTGCTGCCCCCATCCCTAGCTCCTCTACTCCCGGGGTCCGGTGCCAGCCCAGGGCTGGCCCCGACGTGGCCCAGCGCCCACATGTAAGTGAGTGCTTGTTTCAGCAGCTAATGGCGTTAGCAGCCCGGGTGGGCACATTCAGGGGCACAGTACCCCCACGGGGCTCCAGGGCAAGGCTTTCTGGAGGACCTGCGCCCCCCCCACCCACAAGACCTAGGTTTGGCACGGAAGCCAGAGTTCTTCGTGGGGGCGAGAGTATCCCAGGCAGGTTGAGGATGGAGCCAAAGTCGAGAGCGGAGAGGTTTTCCTGCTGGTGACGTCCTCTCTCCAGTGGCCTCACCTCGCAGGTGAAAGCAAGCCCCTTTCCAAAGGGTGCATGGTGGGACTGCCGGCACCCACTCTGTACCTACAGGTGGTGGTGACCCCAGGACTGCCCACAGGGTGCTGGGCTCGGCTTATAGTAGGTCCATGGAGCCCTAGGATCTCATGGTCACCACCGTGGACTGTGAACCCGGGATCCAGCTCTGCTCTGAGCAGCTATGCAAGTGGCCCAGGGCCAGCCCTGCCCTCGCTGGGGCTCAATCCCTTTAGGGGACTCCCAGGGGATTGCAACTCAGACACGGGACTGGAGAGACAATTTAACAGGCCAAGGCTGCTCTTGGCATGGGGGAGGCTCCGGATGCATCGCCCCGACACTAGCACCCAAGGGAGAAACCCCCCGAGCCAAGAGCAGTCCTCCAGGCACTGCCAGGTATGCCCTTCCCACCCCCAACTACAACAAAGCACCAACTCTAAAGAACAGACAGAACGCTCTGCTCTGTACTCCACGGGGCTGCACCCCTGCAGAACCTTCTAGGGTCCTGAGCGGTGGTTGGGTCCCTTCCTGGGGACTGGGCGCTTCCCGAGGATGAATCCCGGGCGTTCCCCGCCCCATCCTGCATCGGCATGGCCCGCACAGCCCTTCCCCCTGCCCCCACCTTGGGCAGTGAGCCGAGACTTCATGCCTGTCGGTGGTGACCCAGAAGGTGCTCGGGAAACGCTGCCGCCTCGCCGCCTCCACCGTCTCTCTCCCCTAAAAGCCTCCCACAGGCAAATGCATCCGAAACGCGGCTCCAGGAGAGAGAGTTACACTTAGCATGGAGGGAGGCGCTTCTAATGGAGGCTATCGGGCAGGGCTGGGGTGGGGGCGCTGGTCCCAGACAGCCCTGCTGGCCCCCCATGGCAGTTCTCTCTGCCCGGGGAGGGACCCCCCCCCCCCCAGCCCTCCAGTAAACCTTCCTCCTCTCCTCTCTACCCACCCCTGGGCCTCGCAGGCAGCTAAAGAGACTCTGGCCAAAGCCGTGCTGGCGGAGCTGCCTCAACAAGTCGTGCAGTATTTCAAGCACAGAAACCTGCCCCCCACCAACTCGGAGCCCGCCTGAACACCAGCCAGCACCCAGCAGCATGCCCCGCCCCCCCCCCCCCCCCCCCGCCAACCACTCCCACCCCACCCCACTCTGAACGTGCACGCGCACCCTGCTTCCTCGTGGGTGGCCTTTTTTTTTTTTTGTTTTTTTTGGTAAAGCCAATCCACATTTTTATTTTTTACAACTGGACCTCCGCCCCCGACTTCCCCCAGCCCAGCTGGGCTTCCTTCCTTGGAGTCCGCTGATGACGCTTCGGGCCAAACCAGCTTCCTCTCTCCTCCTCCTCCTCCACCCGTGCCACGCTCCAGTGTTGAATGTACTTTGTATAATTTTAGTGGAATTCTTGTTTATTAAAGAGAATAAAATTTTTACGATCCTAACTGGGGTTTTCCAGACACCTGAGTGGCTCCCGGAAGTGTCCCGAACCTGGTGCAGGACTGTGGTGTGGCTGGCCCATTTCTACTGTGACTGGGATATGTTTGTGTGCGTGCATGCGTGCATGCGTGTGTGTGTGTGTGTGTCCCCTACTCAGGGTATTAAATGCATTTCAGATGTTCCTGTGTCAGCAGAACTGTGACGTGGCCAGTCCGTTTCTACTGTGACTTTGTGTGTGTGTGTGTGTGTGTGTGTGTGTGTGTGTGTGTGTGTGCGTGCACGCATGTGTTCGTTCTACTCAGGGTCTTAAAGGCGTTTCAGATGTTCCTGTGTGTGTCAGCTCCTTTCTCAACGGGGGGCCAGATGGGCTTGCTGGCTGAGGAACATGCAACCCCTTTTCCTAGGGTCAGAGAGAAAGAATGGAGGGGGTGGGGTAGGGGTGGGGGTGTGGGTGTGGGTGGGAGTAGGCGCTTGCTTGCTTCACACGTGGTTGGCCGAGTCTGGTTCGAACTCCGACACTGCATAGGGTCCTCCCGAGCCCTGCCAGGAGTGACCCATGAGCCCAGGGCTGGGAGTAAGCCCAGAGCATGGCTGGGTGTGGCCCAAAAATCCAAGGGGGGGAAAAATAGAGCACAAAAAGAAAAAAATTCCCTTCCCCCGGTGGTAAGGCTCTGATGTTTGAGCAGTCCCTTCTCCATGGAGACACAGGCCCCAGAAATAGTGACACCTGTTGTGGGGCAGGGACCTTGGCACGCTGCACGTGAGTGCCATGAGCAGAATACATGCCCCCCCACCCCCACCCCGAGCTGTGGGCCTCCCGCCTCCTGCAGTCTCTGTCCTTCTCCTGCAGCCTCTCCAGATCTCTGCTGCTGTCGCTGTGTCCTGTGTTGGTGTGGGGGTGGGGGGCCTCACGAGACAGCTTGTTCCTGCCCATGTGCTCCTCCGGGTCCCCCAGGCACTGGGGTGCTCCCCGGGCTCTCCAGTGTGGGGGTTGTCGGCCACAAGGCACTGCTCTCATGCCGGTGGCCCATGGTGGCCGCCACGTGTCCCCCGCTCCCCCCGGAGGTCAGGCCCAGCTTCCTGAAACTCACATTGGCCCAGTGCCCATGTGCCCAGATGCCGCCTCCTGGTCCACATGACGTGGCTTCTGTGTTCAGCCCGTGATCTAGGCGAACCCTTCCCTACTGCCTGGATTCAACTGAGGAGCTGAATTCACTAGAGGCCAGGTCAAGACCTCCCCGTCCCAATCGGGCGGCCACGAGTCCCCTGTGCTGCACTGGGCCCTCTGGGCGCATCTTCCTGCCGTGGGTTATCCTGACAAATGCTGCTGGTCAGCAGTTTTGACCAGTCTCACCAGAGCTGGGAGCCACTGTGACCGGAGACGGGCAGGAAGTGGCGTTTGTAGTGGGAGGCACCCTCATCCCGACCTACCAGTGGACTCCATGGCCACCTAGAGCTGGCTGGAAAACACCCCCGGGCCATATTCCCACCTTAGCTCTTGGGGTGGGAGGCCGGCATTCTCACCCAGACCTCCCGGGCCAACAGAACAGTCGGCGGGAGACGGGCATTGGCTCCCGTGCAGAGGGAGCCCCGGCGTTGCACGGGGGAGGTGGTGGTCACCCCTAAATGGTTGAACTCTGAAGTCGCGGCTGCATCACATGGATGCAGAGTCATCTTGGCTTTTCCTTCCGACTTCTCGGTGAGACAAGCCCCCTATTCCAGGCTGCCCTGAGTCTTCAGGGGAAGTCTGAGCTTTGTTTGTTTGGGGGTACATCTAGCAATCAATGCTCAGGGATCACTCTTGCTGGTCTCGAGCCACTATATAGGATGATGAGGATGGAACCTGCATTGGCTGTGTGCGGAGTAAGGCCTTTTGCCTCTGTACCACTGCTCAGGCCCAGAGTCTTAATTCTGTACCAGGCTAAAATTAAACCAAAGTAACTCAGTCCCAGTGACCTCTCTATAGGATGGAGCCTACAATTATTAATTGCTGATTATGTATTTCAAAGATGCCGCGAGCAGATAAGCTTGGTAACGCTGGATCACTTGCCGCCTGGCCAACACTGCCGTTATTCACACACCTGACATAGCACTGCCGTGCCACTGGGACTCAAAACCAAGCCTAATGCCATCGTCTTGGCTGTTCTGAGTATGCCTAGCTGTGACTCTGCAGTGCAGGGGCTCAAACCCGAGTGTCCCACATGCAAAGCCTGAGTTCTCTGGGGTCCTGCTACTGGGTTTTTGCACTGTGCTTGCAGACAGGCTGAAGAAAATGTGAACGCTGCCTTCAGTCCTGAATCACCCAGAGGCCCGTGCTGGCCTTTTCGTTTGTAACCCTCTCTCGACTTACAGGCTTCACTGAAAAGCTGGCTTGGGAATTCCTGTGAGTCCTTCAACCCACCACAAATTTTGGTCTCTAGGAAGTGCGGGGAAGGGCTACTTCACTGGCCTTTTTAAATTTTTCTTTTAAATTTTGAGACACATGTGGAGGCGACTCCTTGTTCAGTGCTTGGGAGGCCAGACCATCTCCCCAGCCCTTGCTGGAAGATTTTCAGGATGAAAGACACCTGAGTCCATAAAAAGTCTGCCAACATGCAAACAGTACATGGCATGTAGAAATGACCCTCAGAACACACAGAATGAGGGGCTAGAGTGATAGCACAGCACAGTCAATCTGGGTTCAATTCCCAGCATCCCACATGGCATATGGTCCCCTGAGCACCGCCAGGATTAATTCCTGAGTTCAGAGCCAGGGGGAACCCCTGTGCATCGCCGGGTGTGACCCCAAAAGCAAAAAAAAAAAAAATTACACAGAATGAGTATGGTGGGAAGGAGAATACTGGGCATGACTTAGAGATGTCGGGCTGCCCCACTCTGCAGTTCCGCGAATTCTGACGCTGGGCCACCTTTTGTCCTCCTGCCTGGTTGTGCCCTGGCCTTCTCCCTCCCTCAAGAGTTGCTCCAGCAGACAAGCACGCAGAGATGCCTGCCCATGCCAGCCCTGCAGAGAGGCAGGAATGTGCGGCTGACTTCTTGTAATTCAACCTGTGACTACAAAGTGTTGCCAAGACTTTAACCTCCTACCGAGCAGCCCTTGCCTTCCGCATTGTTCTGCGTTCAGTGGAGCTGGGCGCGCCAGAGCGATGCCACTGAGTCCTCCTGTTTTTTTTTTTTTTTTCTGGAGGGGCTGAAGCCAACAGCTGAGCTGTATACCCACGGCTGGGCCGCCTGCGCCAAGGAACCGGGTGTGCCGTGGCAATTAACATTTAGTGAAGCGGGAAGCGCACAGAAGCTGGTGGTGAGGCTCTGGCGGCCAGACCTGACCCTTCCTCCCGTCAGTGTTCTAGCGGAGACTGAGGAACGCCGGCGGGGCGGGAAGCAGCTGCCGCAAACAACCTTTGATGGATGCTCTGAGGCGGGCAGGCCCAGGGTAACGGTGCTAATGACAGTGCCAACCACTTACTACATACCATGTGCCAGGCAGCCCTGCAGCGTCTAAACCAGACCCTCACCTTCTCCAAAAACCCTGTTTGCCTGGAAGGGAGGGGCCTGGGAGAACTTGAGGGCACAGTGCCTGGCTCCTGGCTCCAACCACCCTGGCATCGTTCTGCAGAGTGGAGCTCGGCTGGTCTCCCAGGAAGCGGCAGAAGCCAATGGGGTGCAGGGCTGGTTTCAGGGGAGTGAAGCTTCTCTTAGGATGAAAGGAGGCAGCTGGACAGAACCCAGGAGGTGGCACTTAACATGGATGCATGTTAGATGGCCCTTGGTCGGGGGCACCTGACTTCCGGTCTGGAATGCTCCTGGAAAAAGCTGGTGTGAGCCACTTCTCTGAGTCTTGGACAGAGAAGGCACGGAGACACAGATCACTGGGTCTAGTCATGTTGGTTATAATCAGTGTCCCAGCTTCTCCCAGATGCAAAGGGGCTGCTCTGCATTTCCAGTTCTCTTCCTGCCACCTGGGCAGGTGACAAGAGCTCAGGGTAAAAAAAAAAGACAGTGGAGAGAGGAAAGAGAGGGCATGTGTCTCACTCCGCCTTGGTCCTGAGCAAAGCTGGGAATAGGATCATTGCTAGATGAGCTTAAAGCATCCCGTGGTTCAGGGGCGTTAAGCTTGCTACCAGGGGGCCCATGTGTGTGTGTGCATGCGTGTGTGCATGTGTGCGGGTGTGGCATCAGGAGTCAAATCCAGGGCATCACATACCAACCAGACTCAGGACCCCCGACTTTGATCTCGTTCCTTCTCACCCGCCTGTGGAACTGCAGCTGCACAGGGAGGAGAGAGCTGCCGTGCAGCCGTGAGCTGAGAGCCGTTCCTTCCTTTCTCCCTTCTCTGGTCGCCCCTGGATGCCTCCCCAAGCTGCTTTCCTCTGCTGGGCAGAACCAACCCTGCTGTTCTAGCTAGGCTTCCCACAGACCCCCCGTCTCTGTCCTGCGGGGGCACCTCAGCGGAAACCACCCCAGGGACCCTGGGTCCCACCCCCAGTCAGCATGGGCAGGAATCGCAGTCTGATGAGTCTTGACATCAGCCAGCTAACAGGGCGAACGTGGAGAGCGTCGGGCGCCATGTCTGACAGGCCAAAGAGCAAGGTCCTGCTTTTACGAGCTTTCGTGTTACGGTACTTTTGTTGTTGTTTTACTTTGCATTGGGGCCACGCCTGGCTGTGCTCAGGGCTTACTCCTGGCTCTGTGCTCAGGGAACCATATGGGGAGCCAGGACTCGAACCCGGGCTGGCCGCGTGTGAGGTCGGTGCCCTCCCTGCTGTAACTATCGCTCTGGCCCTCGATCTGCGTTTTGAATCCCTCAATGCTTCTGTCGGTTTCTCCCGGCACTAACCGTTCCCTGAGGCACTGCAACGGCAGCATCCTGGGAGTCAGACCCCACAAGCGACAGGGTCAGGCTCTGCGGCCGCCTCCTGAAACGGACGGTGACAGCGCAACTGCACGGGCCGGGAGGCAGAGAGGCTGAAGGTGCCGCAACCCCCACCCCCGCCCCCCGTTCCACCTAGACGTCTTGTGTGCTTGGAGAGGGGCGGCAGGCGACAGTCGGGAGCAATTAGCTGGGAGCAGTTCCGAGGCGGAGGCAGAATTCGCCAGGCGTCGGTGATGGGTGACAGGGAGCCGCCATCTGCCAACGGGCAGCGGGACTTGTCACCGCCGTGGACGGGGAGGGGAGCCGACTGGCAGCGTGCCAGGGCCTCCCTGCCCACGAGGACGGCACGGAGCAGCCTCTCCACCTGCCCCTGGCGTGACTGTGCCAACGCGTCCGGGGCGCGTCTCCTTTCCCGACTCACAGCCCGGGAGGAGAAACAAGCGCTGCAGGAGTCCCGGGGCCAGGGATAGCCGGGCGGCCCGTGCCCACCTCCGTGCCTTCCCCATCTGCCTCCCCAAGCCCGCTTGGGAGTGAGACGGGGGCACCGTGCGACGGCCAGGGCTCGGCTTTGTGTGGGAAGGGAGAGAGCCGCGGGCAGCCGAGGGAAGAGGCACAGAGGCGAGGGCAGCACCCTGGGCTGGAAACAGTTCCGCCGCGAGCGGCCACCGCTATTCACGCATCAGCTACAGATGGGCCCGGCAGAGCGCAGTGTCCAGGGGAGCACACGGGTGCCGCCCACAGTGGGCGATAAATACCGGGAGTCCTCCAGCTGCCAGAAACAAGCCGCCTCGTCCCCCTGCCTCCCGGCACTCCTGACTTCCGGCTGGGCCTGTCCGTGCCTGCTTCTCTAAGGGGTCCGAGTCCTGGAGGGGGCTGGAGACGGACCCAGGAGGAGCTGCCTGGCGAGAGAGGGGAATGGGGCGGGGGAGAGGGAGCGCAGGAGTTAGGGTGCATGCCTCACCGTGTGGCTGACCCAGGGGTGCTCCCCCGATCCCTGCCAAAAGCGAGCCCTGAGAAACGCCCCAAAGGGGAGGAGGGGAGAAGCACCACTGCGAGTGACGAGTGTCCAGGGACGGCCCCGCAGGTGTGGCAGGTCGGCTCTAAGGGACGTGGTGCCACTTCATCTCCTGCCACGGCCGGCAACCCCCGCCCCGCCCCCAGGGTCGGTGGCACCACGGTGCTGTAGGAGCAAGCATCGAGCCTCTGGACAGAGAGTCAGAAACGGACCCACAACCGCCCCGTGCTTGTGTGTGCAAGAAGCAAAACCCAAGGAGTGTCCCCGGGAAGGAGTGTCCGGCCCCGCGTCAGCGAGGGGGCAGGTGGCGGGGCGGGAGGAGGAATCAGACACCAACCAGCCGGGCTCTGAGTGGAGTCGGGCGCGTTTAAAGATGAGGGTTAAAAGGCCACGGCGCTCACGGGAAGCGGGCCAAGGAGCCGTTGGAAGGGGGAAAGGATCGATGCCCGTGGGCCGCTGACCAGTCCGGGCCCACGGGGACTAAGGGGCCTCCAGGAAGGTGTTGGTGCGGAAGATGGAGGAGACGATCTTGCCGGTGGCGTTGATGGTGCCCTCGCTGTCGGAGCTGGACTCGGAGTCGCTGCTGCCCGAATAGGCGCCCAGCCCCGGGAGGATGCCGATGCAGACGGCTGCCGACGGGCAGTGGATGGAGGGGCCGCTCAGGGACGGGCTGCTCAGCGCCACGCAGGGGGTGGCCTCTGCAAGAGAGGAGCGAGGGCCATTACCGCGTCGGCCTGTCCTGGACAATGGATGGGTCGCAGGTCCCACACCGGGCACCGTTGGGGTCCCAGGGAGGCCCAGACTGTCCCTCCTGCCGGCCCCCTCACCCCCCGACCCCACCGCACCACTGAGAGAAGCGAAGGCCCAGCGAGGGACAGTTTAAGATGAGGCCACCAAGAAGCTGGTTTTTCATGGTTTGTTTTGGTTTGGGGGCCACGCCCGGCAGTGCTCAGGGTTGACTCCCAGCTTTTTGCTCAGGGATCACTCCCGGCGGAGCTCGGGGGACCACATCTGGGATGCTGCGGGCCGGATCTGGGCTTGCTGTGTGCAAGGCAAGCGCCCCACCCACCGTGCTCTCTCTCCAGCCCTCATGTAGCTATTTTCACTCTCGCAAACCCATAGTTACTCTTCTACCGAGGGACCCAAAGCCTCTGTCTGGGACACGGGAGGCCACAGGGAGAGGGCAAGTCCAGTTCAGCCCTCTGTGGTTCCTTGTCAGGACTCCCAGCCGCACCCCCCATCTCCCCACAACAGTCTCGCCCCCTTTTTTCCTGATGAAGAAAGTCAGATCGCTTGGCTTAGATCAGAAGCCACTTAAGAAACAGTCGACTCAACCCGAATCAAAAGATCACGTAGGAAGATGACACCAGAGCTCAGCGCAGAGCCAGTCCCAGTTCAGATCTCTGTGTCGGGCTGACAGGCAAATTACCTTGCCGTGTTTCGACTACATAGACGCGTTAGTATCTTACATAAACGTGGGAAAGATCTATGGTTCCAAGTACATGAGATCAGGAGAAAGAAAAAAATAAAAAACAAACTTGGGATGAAGCTAAGGACGAGGTACCAGCCAGCACGCTGAGGCCAGGAGCTCCCGTGTCTCTGGCTCCCAGGAAGTTCTTAGACACAGAAGCGGCTGAAGCGGAGACAGAGAGAGAGAAGCAAAAGACGGCTGATGACGACGAACTGCAGAAACTGTGAGAGCAGGCGACAAGACAGGAAGTGGTTCCAGGGGGTGTCACAGGCTTTGCGGGAGGCCTGGTTCCAGCCTAACAGTCCCCCGGGAACTCTTGGGATTAGCCCTAAGCTAACCAAAGAAGCGAACGAACTTTATCATTATGACTTACTCGCCCTGCAAGCAGCAGGCCTGCGTGTGATCTCTGGCACTCCACATGATTCCCTGAGCCTACCAGGACTGATTCCTGTGTGCCGGGCAGGAGTAAGCCCTGGGCACCACTGGGTGTGGCCCCCAAACCAAAAATGAGTAATAATCGTATTAATATTAAAAAAAATAGGGCTGGCATGATCGCACAGTTGTTAAAGGGCTAGCCAAGGTTACAATGTGTCAATTCTTGGCACCACTTATGGTCCCCCAAGTACCATCAAGAGTGACCTCTGAGCACAAAATGAATCATTAGCTCCCGAGAACTACTGAACTGCTGGGTGTGGTCCAAATGCACATGCTCCCCCACCAAATCAATGTGTAAATTATAAACTAAAATTAAACTAAAAATATTAAATAAACTAAAAATAAAGGTGTAAACTATAAATAAATTAAAAATAAACTTGATAGAGCAGGAGCAACAGCACAGCGGGTAGGGCGTTTGCCTTGCACGTGGCCGACCCGGGTTCAATTCCCAGCATCCCATATGGTCCCCCGAGCACCACCAGGAGTAACTCCTGAGTGCATGAGCCAGGAGTAACCTCTGTGCATTGCTGGTGTGACCCAAAAGCCAAAAACAACACCACCACCACCAACAAAAAAAACACTTGATAATGTATAAGGCTAAGAATCAGTGGCCACCTAAGGTCACTTACTATTCAGGAAAGTAAGTCATTCTGTTAACTATTTCAGGTGTGAACTGAATTTCAGGGTCTCCCTTAGGACCAAGTTTGAAGGAACGATGGAGCCTCGAGGCAGACTAAGGGGAGAGGGGGGACCAGCCACCGAAATGTGACCAAGGGATCTGGACCACTGTGAGATGTGCAACTTAAGCAAAAACCCCGAACTCCTAATTATCTAGGGAAGTTTCATAAAAGGAGATGAAAACCCTGACAAATTCCCTTCCAAAAGCAGTTTACTGTCCAAAGAGAACAAAACAGTGCCCTCTGATCTCGCCCATTTGGCGAAACTTCCTGCCAACGCCTGCATTTGCAGGACCACATTGTCATACCAAATTACGGGACACCGAAAATTACGAACAGAGGATGTGCTGGGGATGCAGACAGACGCGTGACTTGAGAGCAAACGGGGCCGGCGTGTGCGTTCACGGGCTCGAAGCCGCGCTTGGGTCAGCACCGACGGTGGAGGCCGCGCAAATCCCCTGGGACCCTGGGGGGCCGAGCGGATAAAGCCCTACGCCGCCAAGGACTTAAGCTTCAAGGGAGATTCTTCTCGCAGGGCCTTAGCTTGCAGCCAAAGAGGATTTTTCCCGCTCAGCTTTTGCTATAAGGATGAAGAGGCTGAAGCTGGATACAGTTCAGGAGATGAGGCGCTGGTCCTGCATGCCACTGACCCTGGTCAGATCCTCTGCACCACACACTGTCCCCCAGACACTGCCAGGGGTGACCGGGAGCACAGGGCCAGGAACAGCCCCTGAGCACTGCGGGGTATGGTCCAACCTCCCCCTGCCCCTACCCCATACTCAAGAGAGAATGTAGAGATAGGAAAGGGAATTTAGAATGACAAAAAAGATGGTCTGAAACAGAGTCTGCCTAAAACAGCAGTTCTCTTTCCCATGCGCTGGTGCAAAGGGTTCTCATAAAGTTAAATTAAACACCTGAATTCGGGGCTATTAGTTAACTAGTAGAAATAGTAATGGGCTAGAGCAATAGCACAGCGGTAGGGCGTTTGCCTTGCACGCAGCCAACATGGCCAACCCGAGTTTGATTCCTCCGCCCCTCTTGGAGAGCCCGGCAAGCTACCGAGAGTATCTCGCCCGCACGGCAGAGCCTGGCAAGCTCCCCGTGACATATTCGATATGCCAAACACAGTAACAAGTCTCCAATGGAGACGTTACTGGGCCCGCTCGAGCAAATCGATGAACAATGGGAGGACAGTGACAGTGACAGAAATAGTAATACTTCAGATCTCTCTTTCTCTCCTCACTCCAGTTCATTCCCGGCACCCCATGTGGTCCCCTGAGTGATCCCTGTGCAAAGAGTCAGGAGTTAAGTCCTGAGAACTGCCAGGTGTGGTCCCAAAACCAAAATTTAGAAAAAAAAAAAAGAAAAAAGGTTAAGTATATTATGTATTATATATATATCCTTCCAGACCTAATAGTTCTTATTTCTAAGTATGGAATCTGATATATTTGTGAATATAAGAAATGATGCATGCTTAGGGTTATTTAAAGAACCATAAAAGAGAACTAATGGGAAAATATAAATATTCAACAACAAAGAGTGGGGCGACTATTCCCTGGCATAACCAATGGAAAGCTGCAGAGCCTCGAGCAAGCACGAAGCTCTTTGTGCAATGATTCCCAAGGAATAACAAGTAGCTAGTGAACAGATCATGTTATTAAAAATAGTAATAATAATTCCAAAAGTACAAAAACACTCGAGTATCCGTGCCAACTCCCCCCCCCCCAAAAAAAACCCAAATCCACCTGCCTCTCAGAAGCGTGAGCTGGAACTGCCAATGCACAGAGACACGGGGTATAAAGGGGCACCCGGAAAGCGATCAGTCACCGAGAGCTCAGGACAGTCCCAGGGGGCAGACTTAGGCTTCTTCGCGAACCAAATACAAAAAAGGAGACCAAAAATAAGTTCAGAAGGAAGAGCTCACTAGTTTAAAGGAACGTACACCTTATGAGCCTGAGACTAAAATGCCACGGATGGCAGCGTGCCCACGTGACTGGCCGACTCGATTCCTATCCGAATCCTGAGCACCAGGGCCTGACCATGGCAAGGCTAGAACTGCAACCCTGTACTAGCTCTCAGGCCTGTATTGAAACATTAAAGTAAAGTAAAAGTAAAGGTCCTCCCGTTGATCATCGATTTGCTCGAGCGGGCCCAGTAACGTCTCCATTGGAGACTTTGTTGTTACTGTGTCTGGCATATCGAATATGTCACGGGGAGCTTGCCAGGCTCTGCCGTGCGGGCGAGATACTCTCGGTAGCTTGTCAGGCTCTCCGAGAGGGGCGGAGGAATCGAACTCGGGTCGGCCATGTTGGCTGCGTGCAAGGCAAATGCCCTACCGCTGTGCTATCGCTCCAGCCCCATTGAAACATTAAAAAAAAAATAATAGTACTATATTTGTAATTATGTTCATATAGATGTACAACTCTGGACAGATACATAAGAAACACGTAATACCAATTTTCCTCTAGAAAGAAAAATTGAACAAAAGATTTTTTTTTTCTTTTTGGGTCACACCTGGCGATGCACAGGGGATCATATGGGATGCTGGGAATTGAACCCGGGTTGGCCGCGTGCAAGGCAAACGCCTTATCTGCTGTGCTATCACTCCGGCCCCCGAACAAAAGATTTTTAGTAGAAGGAGACTACTGAATGCTCTTTTTATTGGGAGGGGTGTGGGGGGGGTGGGGTCTGGGCCTCTCTGGACCAGGTGTGGCAGCTCAGTGCTAAGACGTGGGTCCAGTGCAGTGCTGGGACCCATGCACCCTGGTGGTGCTAAGGGACTCTAGGGCCACACTTGCAAGTGCTGAGGGATGACTGCCCCTTCTTTGGGGGGTGGGGGCACACCCTGTGGTGCTCAGGGATTGAACCCAGGTCTCTGGCATGCACCACATGTGCTCAGCTGTCTCTCCAGCCCAGTGGGCTGGGGAGGTATGCCTGGCACACAGGGGTAAGACCCGGTACGCCCCCCCCCCGCCTCCCCCGCACTATATCACCCCGAGCACTGCCAGGAGTGTCACTCAAGCACTGAGCTGGAAGGAGCGCCCAAACACCGCTGGACATGACCCCAAAACAACAACAATAACAACAAAGCAGATTCCTCAGCCAAAGGGTATCGCCACTAGGCCACCATTCATGGTGCTTAGTAGAATACCCGTTAAAGTATCTTTTTTTTTTTTTTAAGAGGAAAATTTGGGTTTATTGCTGACCCATTCTGTTTCTTTAGCACAATCCCATGGAGAGGCAAGGGCAGAACCAAAAACATTCTTCTATTTCTTTCCCTGGGAACACTTAACCTTGGCTTACAACTTTGTGCTACTTAATACGGGGCGAGATTTCAGAGCGTTAAAAGTAAATGCCACCAAAAGTGTACTCCCTCCCGGAGACAGTCTCGGGCATCATGGGTCACTGCACTCTGGCAGTCAGGGATTCTACTTCCCACCGGGAGCAAGCCAGGGGAAATCAAGAAACTTGACATCGGGAGAGAGACAGAGATAAACTCTGTAAACGGAGATGAGAGGAGCAGGTCTGGGCTTTGGGCGCTCTCCAGGAGGAACACGGCGTCATTTATCCGTCCCTCGGAGGATTTCCAACACAGCACTTGCAGGGGAGCTGAAACATTCTTGGACACACACGCTGCCGAAGCATATGCAATGATTTGTTAAGCTCAGTGCCCAGAGGCTCGCCTGGAGGCAAAAGCCTCTCGTGGTGGATTGCAATGCAGCCCACCCGAGACTGCGGGTCTGTGGGGCAGGAGGAGAGAGAGAGGAGCAAAGGGCCACCCACCTTGGTTCTTGTCTTCTGGGTCCGGGTCTGATTTCAGCCTTTTCACACAGTTGCTGCTCTCTGAGCTGTAACAGAAAACACGGCGGTGTGAGGCAGGAGCTTGGGGCAGCCTCAAGGAGTGCGGGTGAATGGAACCAGACTCTCGATTCCAAATCCCTCCCAATCCAAACCCCTGTGAAAGGGTGATGCGTTTCATCCTCAGGTATCACCTGAGCTCCGGGTTCTTTGGGGTCCTGATCAGTCCCTTGGGTGGGAGCAGAAAGATGGGTTTCAAGAATGACCAGCCAGGCTCACCCATGACAAAAGAAATCTAGCTGTTATGAAAGACAAAACATCTAAATATTTTCCGTTATTAAAAAAAAACATTTTATTTGTGGTGTTAAGCATGACTGACTAAGTCCTTGGACGGTAGCAGCACGTAGGGAGGCAGGGTGATGGGAGCTAAAAGCTCTCAGTCTATATAATTTTGTAGGGAAGTAAAAACAGTGATTTACATTGGGTTCTGCTAAGTATACTGGGTAAATTGCAAGGTTAGATACTAAAAGAGATAAAATACATAAATCTAAGCTTCATCTTAGTTTTTTTTTTAAAAAGCAAAAATACAAGGGAAAATATTTTAAATAAAAAGGCAAATAAGAATAGAAACTACATCAAAGAGAGAGAACTACATCATTAATTCTAACAAATCCAAATCTACAGCCAAATGGATTTTAAACCATCTATGAGACACACCTAAAAATGTCACAAAAGTAAACAAAAACACCCTATAGAAAGAATAGCAGAGTCGGGGCGGAAAGAGAGCATGCAGGACTAGAACATATGGTCTGCACGTGTGAGCCCGAGTGGGTGCCCAGCACTGAAGGTTGCTCCACAGACCCGCCAGGTGGGACCTGGGCACTAAACCATCAAGCTCCCAAACCTGCATTAGACCCACAACACCCAGGATCACTGGGAACTGCCCTTGGTCACCCCCGACCCCTTCTAAGCCCCCAGACTAACAAATGGATAAAAAAAAAAAAAGAATGGGAAAATATTTAGCAAGGCAAACACTCAAGAAGGTTGCACGCCTTTCTGGTACTGGGTGTGGAATCAAGTAGGAGCACAATAGCCTTGTGAGAGAGACAGACGGTCACTTTCCAACGAAACAAAGCTCAATTCACTGTGTCGGAACAATTTGGGACGCGCAGGCCTCTAAAGAGCTTAAAAACAGAACTCTGAAGAAAAACCAAGAAAGCACTGCTACAGAGAGAGGCGATTTCAAACTAACTGCTCTCAAATGCAGACAGAACAAGAAGACAAATGTGTCAAGACACAGGAGAGCGAAACACTATAAAAACACAAACACAAATGTAATAGATAAATAAAAAGACACGGAAGAGCCAAACAATCCAGTTAGTGAACTTGCTTTGTGCCTACACAGAAACTCAAGGTCAGACACAAATTCTCAAAGCTCATTTGTGGGGTTCACAAAAATCCACCTCAAGAATGGGTCATGGGCAAAAAAGCACATGAGAAAATGCTCTACATCATTAATCATCAGGGAGATGCAGATCAAAACCACAATGAGATACCATCTCACACCTCAGAGACTGGCCCACATTCAAAAGAACAAAAGCAACCGTTGCTGGCGCGGATGTGGCGAGAAAGGGACACTCCTTCACTGTTCGTGGGAATGTCGACTGGTTCAGCCCTTCTGGAAAACAGTATGGACGATTCTCAAAAAATTAGAAATTGAGCTACCATTTGACCCAGCAACACCACTCCTGGGAATATATCCCAGAGAGGCAAAAATGTATAGTCGAAGTGACATCTGTACTTGTTCATTGCAGCACTCTTTACAATAGCCAGAAACTGGAAGAAACCTGAATGTCCAAGAACAGATGACTGGTTAAACAAACTTTGGTACATCTACACAATGGAATACTATGTAGCTGTTAGAAAAAATGAAGTCATGAAATTTATATACAAGTGGTATAACATGGAAAGTATCATGCTAAGCGAAATGAGTCAGAAAGAGAGGGATAGACATAGAAAGATTGCATTCATCTGGGGAATATAAAGTAACAAAATATGAGATTAATACCCAATAGCTGAGATCAGCACCAGGAGGATTACTCCATAGCTTAGAGGCCAGCCGGGCATTCTAGGGGAAAGGGCAGCTCAGATAGAGAAGGGAGCACCAAATAAAGGGTGTTTGGAGGATCCTCCCAGGAGAGGAGATGCATGTTGAAAGTAGACTATGGACTGAACATGTTTGCCACTCAAAGCCTCTTTTGCAGACCACAACACCCAAAAGGAGAGAGAGAACACAAGGGATTGCCCTGCCACAGAGGCAGGGTGGGATGGGAGGGATGGGGGTGGGAGGGATATTATCCATGGTGGTGGAAAATGGGCACTGGTGGAGGGATGGGTATTTGATCATTGTATAATAGAAACCCAAGCACAAAAAATTGTAAATCTACAACTGTACCTCATGGTGTTTCACTAATAATAATAATAATAAAAAAGAATGGGTCATTGGGGTGCTGGGATTATGGTACAGAGGGTAGGGCATTTGCCTTGCACATGACCGACCTGGGTTCAATTCCCAGCATCCCATATGGTCCCCTGAGCACCGCCAGGAGTAACTCCTGAGTGCATGAGCATCACTGAGTGTGACCCAAAAAGCAAAAGCAAAAACAAAACAAAACAAAAAACAAAAAACCCACACAGAACGGGTCATGGGTCATGAGGGGTATGAGTGATAGTACAGTGGGGAGGGCATATGCCTTGCATGCGGCCAGCCCATATGGTCCCCCGATCACCAGCAGGAGTAATTCCTGAGCATGAGTGGGTGTGACCCAACCTCCCCTCCCCCAATAAAAAAGAAAGGATCATGAAATGAGTTCATGGCTCACCAAAGCCATCTCAGAAGAATCTCGGGACACAGAAGCCACATCACACTTAAGGTAGAAACCAATGTTTAAAAATAAGGTCACGATCATATTTCATTTCGAAGACCATCAAGACTCAGAAATTTATTTTATAGACACTGAGGCACGACTATTACAAAACATATGTGGGGGAGGGGGGATGTTCATCTTGGAACGAATGTAATATGGGTCCATGACTCCAAGGTTTGTAAACTCCAGAAATGTTTGATTCATAAGTCACTGACAGTCACTGGGTATTAATACTAAGTTGGAAACGTACATATAAGGGATGAAAGCTGAGGAAAGTTTCTAGTTTTGAATGTTTGTAACTGAAAAAAAGTATGGATTTCATGATCACTTAAACAACTATTCGAGAATACAATTTTAAGCCAAGGCTACCCCAAAGAAGGTACTGACAAAATAAAGAACAAAATTAATGAAATAAAAAAAAATAGGGTGAACAAGTCCAAAAGAGTTTGAAAGGACTAACACATGATGGCTTATGAAGCAAGTCAAAATAAGAATAAAAATAATCAATACCCGAGATAAAAAGGTAAAAAAGGTAAAGGCCCTCCCGTTGATCGTCGATTTGCTCGAGCGGGCCCAGTAACGTCTCCATTGGAGACTTTGTTGTTACTGTGTCTGGCATATCGAATACTCTCGGTAGCTTGCCGGGCTCTCCGAGAGGGGCGGAGGAATCGAACTCGGGTCAGCCATGTTGGCCGCTTGTAAGGCAAACGCCCTACCCGCTGTGCTATCGCTCCAGCCCCGAGATAAAAATGGGCACAATTAGAGGCCAGCAATAAAAGAACACTATCAACTTTAGCTAATGTATCTGAAATGAGACAAAATGGACAAATCCTCAGAAAATATCATAAAACTGACTAAAAAAAAATTCCAGCAGTTGTCAGAGTGATAATACCCATAGGTATGGTGCTTGCCTTGCCTGTGGCCGACTGGGTTCATCCTCCAGCACCCCATCCCTGAATGCAGAGCCAGATAGTAAGTCCTGAGCACCGTCAGGTCGGGCCCTTCCTCCCTGACCAAATCCAGCAGTGAGAAATAGGTGATACTTCACAGCATTGCTGGACTTACCACAGGAATGCAACATTAGAAAAATCTGTGCTAAATTTTGTTTATCCTAACAGAGTAAAGAGCTGTTTACCAATGAAAATGCAGGGTAAAATTAAAATTGTATTTAGCAATTCTTGGAGAAACACACATAAATCTTTTTTGTGTGTGTGGGGAGGGGGATGGGGGTGCTCAGGAATCACTCCTGATGGGGCTCAGGGGATTACACGTGGTGCAGGGGATCACACATGCAAGGCAGGTACCCTACCCACTGCACAATGGTGCGATCTCTCTGCCTCCCCCAACCCCAAATCTTTCAACAAACTGGAAACAGAGTCTTAGTTTTGCTTAGCTAACTCCAGGAAAGACTGTGGTAAAATAGAAGACCACCCAGTCCTGATTCTCTCATAACCACCGGCTAGTATCCGGTCATGGTATTTGGTCATTCCCAATGACCAGGCGTGACATGCTTGGGGTGGGGGGCACTGGGAGATGGGAGGGGACGCAGTCTCTCCTCTCCTCTCGTGGACTCCTGTTGTCTTTCCTTGCCCAGAAGTTCTGGGTTCCTGCTATCAGAGGGGAGTGCCGGAGTGAGCAGAGGGCACCCGTGGTGGGGGGTTGGGGCGGAAGGGGGCGGGACTTCCTGCTGAAAGAGTCCCAGGAAACGGTGCAGTGAGCAGCTGGAGCCCTGCTCAGGCCCCCTTGGGAAACACTGCAGGATACGGCATGGGATAGGATCTGGCAGGCAACCCTGCAGCTTTGAACTCTCTGGAGCATTTTGTCTCTCTGCAATCAAATTTCTTTCTATCCGGGACAGGGGCGGGGAACGGGGGTCGGAATTCAGCAAGTATTCTTTCTCAATGCTGAGAAAGTCATAAGCACTTGGAATAATTTTTTTTTTCTTTTTTGGTCACACCCGGCAAAGTACAGGGGTTATTTCTGGCTCTGCACTCAGGAATTACTCCTGGCGGTGCTCGGGGGACCATATGGGATGCTGAGGATTAAACCTGGGTCAGCCGCCTGCAAGGCAAATGCTCTACCTGCTGTGCTATCACGCCAGCCCCTCATTTGGTATAATATTATAAGAGAAACGAAAGTTGTGTGGAATAACCTTCCTTCCCCTCGCCCCCGTCTTCCTTTTATTGGTAAGCCTACTCAATGCAGTGAAATACGAAGGAATTCAAAGGCATAAGGAAGGGGACTACGGAGACAACCCCACCAGAGGGCTAGAGCGTCTGCAGTGCCTGCAGGAGCCCGAACTCAGTCCCAGAGAGCACGGGGCCGGTGAACACTGTGCTGGGAGAAGCCCCTAGGCACTGAGGACCCAAACCACCCCAAACAACCATGAGCAAAAATGACAAAAGCAGGTGATGAACAGACCATTCATTCAATTAATTCAATTAATTCAAATCCACATACAAACTATTCCGGTTACACTAATTGCTAAGGAAATGCAGACTCCTACGAGGACATACTACCCTATAAAATCACCGTACCTGTTAATTCTGTGCCTTCCAGCAGGGCAGCTCAAACGAACTGTGGCAAACGAACATTTATTTTAAGGGGCTTCGAGGGGCCATGCCGAGCAGTGCTCAGGAATGACCCCTGACAGTGCCAGAGATCTGAACCAGGGTTGGCTGCATGAAAGGGAAGTGCCTCCACTTCCTGTACTCTCTCCTGCCATGCAACTGAACGTTTAAAATGTGCCTAGCGCGGCTAAGGGACTAGATTAAAAATGTTAGTTTAACAGATAGTCAGAGGTGGCCAACGGCTTCCATGTTGGGTAGGGCAGCTCTAAAGAAACACACGTGGAGAGATAGGACAGCTGGGAGGGCACTTGCTTTGCATGTGATTAATCCTGGTTACATCCCTGGCACCACAAATGGTCCCCCCGAGCCCACGAGGAGTGATCCCAGAGCCAGGAGTTAAGCCCTGAGCACAGCTGGGTGTGGCCCAAAAGTCAACAATAAATAAATAACGAATGCATTAGTGAAAACCAGGTCACATGTATATAAATCATTTTCAGAAAGTTCAAAAACATGCAAGCCAATAGTCTGATTATGATGCCAAACCACAGAAAAACCCAAACCCTCAGAATTAAAAGCAAACAAAGGCATAAGAATGACAAATTGGATTGGGGAGTGGTGTGAAGGCAGGGAGGCAGGGAAAGGGTGTGGGAACAAGCACAGAGGCTCTGAAGGGCTCGGTGGGGACCGGGCGATGGGCCTGCAGGGGCGCCAACACATCCTGCTTCCTCACAGACACGCACACACACCAGGCATCAGAATCATCCGTGGAATTTAAAGAATTAGGCTCTCGGGGGCTCACTGCAGACTTCCTGAATCAGAATCAGTGTCGGCTGCGATCCTCGATATTAACCAAGTCCCCAACGGTCCTTATAAACCCAGCCGGGTAGATTCGGCGGAAATCCTGCCCGGAAAGACTCATTTGTCTCTTTCCTACACAAAGCAACAATGATGCCATTTCCAAACCCGAGGAGAGGAGGCTTGTGCGCATGTGGGCAAGCCCAAGCTAATGGAGACCGCTTCTGAACAGCGATGCCAGGCCTACAGCGGGGAGGCAGTTATCAAGCCTAGCGGGCCCTTCCTTGGTGCGGTTCGGTGAAAGGGACCCACACTCACATTCTACAAGATGCTGGACCCGGCACACGAGCGTCTGCGAAACCAGGGAGGAACCATAGCTCCAGGAGGCTGCGGCCCTCCTGCCCTCCCTCCCTCCCTCCCTCCTCCCCTCCCGCTGCCGGCCGCACCAGGATGACATTTCTGCATGTGAGCAGTGTTCCCAGAACATCTGCTGCCCACGCTGAGCCAAACCACAGACTGCATCACTCCTCGCCCTCCGGGACCCGAGGCCGCTTGCCAGCGCACTCATCGATTTGCCTAATAGACTCGGCTGCACTCGAACTGGACTTCATTTCGCCTTGAGTATGGTCAGGCACATCCGAACGACCAGCGTCAATCGCCGGGGTGCCTTTTTCGAATTTAAGAGAGGGAGGAGCAAACAGGGCAAAGGATTTTTCCAAACCTCTAGGCAGGGCTGGAGGGACACAGTCCCCTGGGGGAAGGCAGCTTGGCCTGGAGGGTGGTTCAAATCCCGGCACCCGCATATGGTGCCCCCAGCGCCGACAGGCCCCACCAGGAGCAATCCCTGAGGGCGGAGCTAGGAGTAAGCCCTGGGCACTGCCAGGCGTGGCCCCAAAACAAACATCACATCACTCGACAGAGTGACCCTGTCGCAGGCCCTGGCCACCCCGACTACAATGCTCTTCGGCAGCCACGTCCCTAGCTGGGATGTTCTCTGCCCGGTCAGTCTGACAAGACCCCAGTCCCTTCAGCATCATCAGGACCTTTCCGATACACTCTCATGTCCCCCTGCTGTCTCGAGGCAGACTCAGACGCTGCCTCCTCCCTGCCTCCACGGAACCTTCAGACAAATCCTTCCCGGGACATGCGTTGGGCACGCCTCGGGAAGGAGACGCCCAGAACCCGCTCTCCCATGGCTCTGCACCTCTCCTCGGGTCGGTCCCTCCTCTGTAGGTAGGTTCTTCTCTCTAAGGAAGACAAATCGAACCTACAGCTACCAGAGCACCATGTCCGCTGCCCATCTGCAGGAGGAGAGAGACCCTCAAGCATGGGAGCCCTCAGACAGACCCAAAGGGCCCCAAGACGAAGTCAAAGGCGACGCAGGTGCTGGGTCTGCCAGGGGAGGCAGCCGGGCCACCACAGGCGCGTTCCTGAGCCTGTCACCACACACAGAGCACACAGCACGGCGGGCGGGGGCTGCCTGACCTCTTGTGCTTCACGGCGCCCGCCAACAGCTTTGCCTGGGAGAATTTGTTCTTGGTGTCGACGGGTTTCGCGGCCGGTTTCTTCTCCACTTCCTTCTTGTTTTCTGGAGCAATGCCGACTTTGCTGAGATTACTGTAAGTTACAGGTTAAGGGTCAAACTTGGCAAAACCAGACGAGCCGCTGGCTGGACAATGATGGACCATGAGGGATCCAGAGAAGGAAGACAAATCAAACCCAGCGGTACTTGTAGTCCACAAACACCCGCGTTCTTCTACAGTGCAATGCTCAGGTTTTCCAAATACCTGCCCCATGACTAGTACTAGTGCACAGGTGGAAAAAGGAAAAAATGGTGGGAAACTCTTGGTTTAGGCTACTTACCTCCCCCCAAAAAATCTCCAGGATTTAAAGAGAAATAAGGGTGACTTCAAGGTAAGATGGAAAATCAAATTCAAAATAATATAAAATCCCCTCTTCCGATTCTTAAAGGAAACCTGCAGAGCCAGAAAACCTGCTATTACCAAAGAGATTATATCAACCTTGAGGGGAGAAAAGGAAAAAACTCTTAGTGAATATGATGGAACGGGGAAAAAAAGAAGCGTGGTTTCCCCGAAGAAAAATATTTTGCTGAATACTTCCTCTTTTTTTCTTGGTGTCTGGGCCACACCAGGCGTTGCTCAGGACTTACTCCTGGCTCTGCATCCAGGAGGCCATATTGGGTTCTGGGGATTGAACCCAGATCAGACGCATGAAAGGCAAGGGTCTTACCCACTGGACTATCTCCTCTGGCCCCTACAAAATGTTCTTTTGTTTTTTTGGCCCACTGATTTCTGGCCCACAGTGGTGGTGCTCAGGACTTCCTCCTGGCTCTGAGTTCAGGGATCACTCCTGGCGGGGGTCTGGGAACCAAATGGGACATCAGGGATCAATCCCGCTGCAAGGCAAGTGCCCTACCCAGTGTACCATCTCCTTAGCCCCTCAAACGTTCTTGGAACTGTCAGTGGCATTCACTCGTTTTTTTTTTTTTTTTTTTTTTTTTGCTTTTTGGGTCACACCCGGCGATGCTCAGGGGTTACTCCTGGCTCATGCACTCAGGAATCACTCCTGGCGGTGCTCGGGGGACCATATGGGATGCTGGGAATCGAACCTGTATCGGTCATGTTGGCTGCATGCAAGGCAAACGCCCTACCCGCTGGGCTATCGCTCCAGCCCCCAGTGGCATTCACTCTTAAGCCATCAACGGAGGACTCTTACTCCATGGGTAAAAAGTAACATCAGAACCACTCCAAGTCTTATTACAAGAGTTCTTCCTCTATACCAAACTAGTGAATAGCCAGGGGCCTGGAAACCCATTTCAACACTCTCCCTCCCAAAGTGATTATTTTATTTTATTTTATTTTTTTGCTTTTTGGGTCACACCAAACGATGCTCAGGAATTAGTCCTGGCTCTACACTCATGAATTACTCCTGGCAGTGCTCGGGGGACCATACGGGATACCTGGGAATCGAACCCGGGTAGGCCGTGTGCACAGCCTTACCTGCTGTGCTATCACTCCAGCCCCCCAGTGATTTTTAAAGAGATACCCTTTTAAATGACAGCACACCAGAAAGCTCCTTTCAAAAGCATGACCCGATTATGGACCAGGGCCACAGGAGAAGGGTTAAAATACATGACTTATCTGTGACCAACCCCACTTTCAACTCCAGTTCAGTCTGGAGCACAGACAGGTGTGGCCCCCAAGAAAACAAAAGAAAACACAGGTAACCTGCCTGTCATGTTACTTCTTCATGCTTTGTTCTCTCCACCAGGAGCAACCCCCACACGCACACACCTCAACCTTTTCCCCTTGCATTCTGCCTCTTACAACCTGTTAGGGAGTAATATCTGGACATGGTACAATTCCTTAGTGAAGATGCAAGAATTCTGTACTGGAACAATAGTGACACCTAGTGCCCAAGAAACTGTAAAAACATGTATTACTGGCTCCCCCAAGTTGGGGTACCAATAAAGTCGGGGCCATTTATGTCTCAGAACACTGGGTCTCAGGAATAAGAAAAAAAAATTGGGGGAGGGGGTTGGAAGAGGGGGGCGTCTGAACCATACCCAGTGGTAGGCTAACTCCTGGCTTTGTGCTCAGGGATCAGTCCTGGCAGACTGGGGGACCATACGGGGAGCCGTTACGGGGGTCAGCCACGTGCAAGAGAAGCACCTTCCGTACTGCACGATCTCTTAAGTTCCGGAAATAAGGAAATGAATCTTTGGCACTAAGTCTGTCCTTACACCTCAAGTCTGTGCACCCTAACATTTTTAGCATTCGGAGGGAATAACATAACAGTCGGTGTCTTCAATTAATGTTTAGATCATCACAGAAATAAACACTGAGTCACATCCAAACCATAAACAATCTTCCCCCCTTAAGTCTCTCTTCCCTCTAAAACGCTTCAAATACAAACAACACATTAAAAATCCCAAGGAATTCATTAACTTCATTTTTCTTTACATCACCTGGTTTTTAACACAATTGTACTGCACAATACCTGTTTAAGCTGAGCGGAAACAAGAGTCCCATTGTTCGCAGGGTACAAAACACAGCTTATCTGCATTCGCAAGGATTGCATTATACATGTTATCACATTATAACACAGTAGCAAAGCCAAGAACCAGCTGCTAATTTGGAGCTTCAATAAACAGATGTCCGATCTTTCTAGTCCGATCTCCACCCGCCCCTGGCTCTGGGCCTGCTCGGATTGGTGCATTAATATACACCGGGGGTTGGAAGGCCCCTTTTCCTTTAGTATTTTTCAGACAGCCAGAACTTTCCAAGTTTCACCCTCCACCCCCACCCCTCACGCCTCTTCCATGTTGTACTATCACGTTACCAGCACAGAAAAAAAATAAAGCTCCTTTTGTCTCTCCCGGCTGCCCCTTCATTCCATCCTTTGAACTAAAAACCCACGGAGCACCTTACACCAGCGCCACCCCCCACACTTCTCTCCGGCATGCTGTTTGTGAGACAGTCTGTTCTATCTGCGAGACTGCCAGATTAAGCCCCTGAACCCAGACAGACTCCAGTGAGAAGTCTAGTTAGTGTATTTCCTTAGATGAACCAGCCCCGCGGCGAATGAATGCCATGCGTACACCTGCCCCTCCTTGCTAAACATTCACACACAATATTACTTCGGGGTTGCCAGGGGAGGGAGGAGGGGAGGAGAGGTTCAGCAGGGTCTGCTTGCTTCCTACTGTAGCATGTGACTTTCTATCAATTCAAATCTTTTTTTTTTTTCCTTTTTGGGTCACACCCAGCGATCCACAGAGGTTACTCCTGGCTCTGCACTCAGGAATTACTCCTGGCGGTGCTCAGGGGACTATATGGGATGCTGGGAATCAAACTCGGGTCGGCCGAGTGCAAGGCAAACGCCCTATGCGCTGTGCCATTGCTCCAGCCCTGGCACAAGATAATTTTTATTGGATGAAACTTACGTAGAAAGATGGAAGGGTGGGGGGAGTGGAGGAGCAATAGCACGGCAGGTGGGGAGTTTGCCTTGCACATGGTCAACCCAGATTCACAGAGTTCCTGACATCCCAATATGGTCCCGCAAGCCCACCAGGTGTGATCCCTGACCACAGCACCAGGAGTAATAAGCCCTGAGCGGTCAGGCGTGGTCCCAAAAACAAACAATAAAAGATAGATGGGGGAAAAGGAAAAGGAGTGTTTAAGGTAAGTAAGCTTAAAAAAAAAAGTAAACAAGCAAGAAAAGAGACTTTAAAAATAAGCAAGCAGGGACTCTATTTGAGGAAGAACATGGGCTTGACCAGCAAGCTGATATTTAGATTTTTGTAATCAACATACAGCAAGTTTTGTGAAACTATGCCGTCACCTTCTTGCAATTATCATCAGCCACATTACCTTAAATTTTTTTTGGTTTTTTTGGGCCACACCAGCAGTGCTCAGGGCTTGCTTCTGGTTTCTGCACTCATACTTGGTGGGCTTGGGGGATCATACCGGGTCCCTGGGATCGAACCCAGGTCAGCTGAGCGCAAAGCAAACACCCTACCCGTGATACTACTGCTCTGGCCCCATGTCAGGGTAATTTCATGGAAACCAAGCTCCTGAGAATCTGAGTTCTGTTTTTCTGTTTTGTTTTGTTTTTCTTTTTGGGTCACACCTGGTGAAGCACAGGGGTTACTCCTGGCTCTGCACTCAGAAATTACCCCTGGCGGTGCTCAGGGGACCATATGGGATGCTGGGAATCAAACCCGGGTCGGCCGCATGCAAGGCAAATGCCCTATTTACTGTGCTACTGCTTCAGCCCCGAGAATCTGAGTTCTAAACCAAATCCCTGAGTTCTATCTACATTTCACTCCCATGACTGTACGTGCATATATGTGTGTATATGTGATGCCAGGGCTCAACCTCAGAGCTTCACACATGTAAGGGAAATATCTTAAATACAGAGCTACAACCCCAGCCCACGGTTCTCCTCTTAGAGAACATCAAGGGCAGAGTGCACACAGTCCCAACTATGACAGACTATGACAGTGCAGCCGAGGTCCCTGCATCTGGGGGGAAATCACAGGGGTCAGCTCCTCCCACCTACATGGCCTAAGGCACAGGAAACCACCTCCATGTTCATGGTACTTCCCCTGTCAGGAGTGATCCCTGAACACAGAGTAAGCCCTGAGCCCTTGAACCAGGTGTGGCCCTGCCTGCCACCCCCTTCTTAAAATAAAAAACAAAACCCAAACCCAGAAGGGGCTGGAGCAATAGCACAGCGGGGAGGGCATTTGCCTTGCACACGGCTGACCTGGGTTCAATTCCCAGCATCCCTGAGCACCGCCAGGAGTAATTCCTGAGTGCAGAGCCAGGAGTAACCCCTGAGCATCACCGGGTGTGACCCAAAATGCAAAACAAAACACAAAACTAAACAAAAAACCCAGAAAGCAAAAACAGAATGAAAGTTCAGCTTTGAGCAAAGCCAGATATGGCCCAAAAGTAAAATTAAAGACAGACAATCTAGTTAGTGGTAGGGTGGGCACTTTTAAGTGAGCTGAATAGGTATGGTCCCAAATGAGGGAGATCCAAGCTGAGCACTGAGTGCCATACTTTGCATAATATGCCAGTCTTGTGCCATCTGAAGGCAGAGGCTGAAGCGACAGTGCTGCGATTAAGGCACTGACCTTACACAATGCCACCACCGGCACTGCTCAGGGGTCCCCCAGCGCTGCCAGGAGTAAGCCCTGAGCACCGCAAGGTGTGGCCAAACCCAAAATCAAACCCAGCCTCAGAGGCAGAGCATTCCAGGCAAACAAGGCGTGAGATGGAATCGCAAACTCACCTGAGAGGAGCATAGACATCCTGCGGGCCGGAGTTCTGTGAACGCAAGGAAGGGGAGCCCAGGGCTGAGGTACAACTGCAACCCCCAACACCACAACAAAAATAACAAAACTCAAAAGACCCCCTGGATGAGGCTGAACACATTCCCACCTCTGTCTAAACGAACAAGACAAGAGTCCCTGGTACTGACCAGCACAATTCAGGCCTCAGTTAATCCTGAACGACCTGGACTTGGGATTGTAACACTCTGCCTCATCACTGCCAAGAACTCAGTTCACAGGAAGATGGTTAGTTAGAAGGGAACTTAGAAGCCAAAGACTCTCATTCCATTTATGAAGATGCTAAAATCCATAGAAAACTGACACTTCACAGACTCCTTTAAAAATGCAAAGGATAGGGGTTGGAATGCTAGTACAGTGGGTAGGGCGTTTGCCTTGCATGCAGCTGACCCAGGTTCGATCCCCAGCATCCCATATGGTCTCCAAAGCGCTGGCAGGAGTTAATTCCTGAGAGCAGAGCCAGGAGTAACCCCCCAGCATTGCCAGTAACCCAAAAAGCAAAATAAATAAATAAATAAAATAAAAAGGATGGGACCAGAGAGATAGTACAATGGCTAGGGCACTTGCTTTGATGTCACCCACCCAGTGGCCCACCGAGTTTGAGCCCAGGGATCCTGGTATGGTTGCCTGAGCACTGCCAGGAGTCACTGCTGAGTGCAGAGCCAGGAATCAAGCCCTGAGAATTGACAGGTGTGACCTCCAAGCAAAACAAAATAAAACAAAACACAAAATGCAAAGGATATTCTGTACTCCTTCAGTTCTTTCAGTTCTTCTTCTCTCCGTTGTTTTTCTATTAGCTCCTGCTGCCGAGAAACCTCATCAAGGAAGTTGGTCTCATCTTCATCCAAGCCTCTGACCATGTTTTCTGAGAATATAAACAAGGGACATTTTAGCAGGATGAAGGGGAAATAATGCTAAAAAGAAAAAAGTCTTTCCCTTTTCTTTTTTTAATATACAGTGGATCCTTCAGGGAGTTAGAATTTATAAACACCATGGCTCTTGGATAGATAACATGGCATAAAATCAAAGCATTTCTTCCATTACTAGATATTAGCACAGAATTAAAATGGATATTTGGAGCTCTAAACAAAACATTGAATGTGATACAGAAGGCAGAATTGAGTCTCCTTTCCACCAAATGAGCATCTGGAGGCTACATAATCAAGATCATTCCAGGGTTTATTAGAAAAGATATTGTGTAAGACAAAAAGGCATTTAAAAAAAATGACACTACAAGGAGAGGAAATGCAGGAGGTAAGGTGCCTGCCTTGCACACAGCTGACCCCTGGTTTGAATCTCTGGCAACACGTAAGGTCCCCTGAGCACTGCCAGGGGTCATTCCTGAGTAGAGAGCCAGAAAAAACCCTGAGTCCTGTTGGGTGTGGCCCCCAACGCAAATAAAAAAATAAAAAGATGCAGCACCAGGAGCTGGTTCAAAGGGCTGGAGCAACCCTGAGGTCAGTCCCTGCACCACATGGTTCCCCAAACACCGCTGCATGCTATCCCGAACACCAAGCTGTGGGCAAGAGAGGGCCTGGAGCACTGGGGTCTGCGTGGCCCAAAAACAACCTCCTCGCAGTCCAATAAAGCAAGCAAGCAAAGGCTTCACAGGGACAGGATAGTACAGTGGGTAGGGCATTTGCCTTACAAGCAGTTGGCCTGGGTTTGATCTCCGGCATCCCATATGGTCCCTGAAGCACCAGGTTGATCCTGAGTGCAGAGCCGGGAGTAACCCCTGGGTCATCACTGGGTATAACCCACAAAATCAGAAGGGAGGGAGGGAGGGATGGAGTGAGGGAAGGTGGGAGGGAAGGAGAGAAGAAGGGAAGGGAAGGGAAGGGAAGGGAAGGGAAGGGAAGGGGAGGGGAGGGGAGGGGAGGGGAGGGGAGGGGAGGGCAGGGGAGGGCAGGGGAGGAGAGGAGAGGAGAGGGAGGGAAGGAATGATGGATAGAGGGAAGGAGAGAAGGAAGGAAGGAAGGAAGGGCGGAAGGGAGGGAGGGAGGGAGGAAGGAAGGGAGGGAGGGAAGAGGCAGCAGAGTCGCTTGGTCTGTGCTCTGAGGCTTACTGAATTTGAATTGCTCCTCATATTCCTGCTGCTTCCTGTCTTTCTGCTCCTGTAGCCTTTCGTAGAGAGACCGAGGGTCATAAACCTCCTCCGGACATTCTGGAAGGAGAAGGCGGCCAGAGAGGAAAGAGTGGGGCGAAAAGACATAGACTTTAGAATTCTTTCCAACTACTTGGGAACCACCAGGGGCTTTAGCGATCAAGCCGCTGTGTCATCTCAGGGCAAGGACGACAGGAGAGTACTGGGTCCACGGCGACTCTCTGGCCGTCAGCAGACAGTTAAAGCCAAGGGTCCGTGTCTGAGGCTGCTGGCAGGACCAGCGACCAGAGGCCAGCCAAGGCCCACCTCTCCCGGGGACAGCGGCAGAGCAGAAAGGGCAAGGACGGGAGTGGTCACCGTTTCCATCTCTCCTCAGTTCCTGCCCCTGGGAGCGAAGCCCTCAGGGCTGGGGCGAGGGGCAAAGACCTGTAAGCCGGAGGCCAAACCGTGAGCCCAGAGACCTTGCGGATCCTCGGGTTTCCGGACCTTCTCCCATTCCTCTTGCCTCCGCTTGCGCCGCTCGTCTAGTTCTGCCTCCGACACAAACCTCTTTTTGATCACAAGGTTGCCGTCATCCCCTCCATCCATAGTGGAGCAGTAGAGCTGCGAGAACACAGACACACGCTGCAATCAAGATCCTAAAGCACAGACTGAGCTCTGCCTCACCCGGCCGCACCCGCCCCCCTGAGCCCCTCTGGCCTTGAGCTGCAGGTTCCGCAGTTGGTCGTGCGGGCCAGGCCTCCAACGGGTGAAAGCACGTGGCTACACTTCCCCGAAAGCGGTCCATGGTTTGATTAGCATGCTATCTCCAAAGCCAGCAAGAGGGCCTTGTGTAACCTTCTTTATACGTTGTTTCCATCACAAACTTTGCACTGTGGATATTGCTCTGTCCACCCATATCTGAAAGTATCATTTTTCTTTTAAGGGGGCTGGGGGATCTTGAGCCACATCCTGAGGTGCTCAGGGCGTCATAAGTGGCACCGGGGATTGGGACCAAGGGAGCAGCCACATGCAAGGCACGTGTCTCACCTCCCTGGTCTCTGGGCTTTCCAATGTTTGCGCTGGGAACCTCGGTTCGCCTACTTTTACTGCCAAGTAGGTTCAGAATGGAGCCAATCATTTCAAAGGGTTTTGAGCATTAAGCCCAGTCTGTACAAGGAAGCAATATGCCTGGAGGCATCCAAACCTTGGAGGAGAGCGTGAGGCTAGGGTTAGCTCTTCTGGTTTCCAGCTCCAGGTCCTGGGCACTGACTCCTCCAGCTCCTCCTCCTCTAAACTCCATCTGCCCTAAGGGTCTATTCTGGGTCCTTCTCTTTCCACTGCTACAAAGACCCCCACTGCTTTATACCGATCTCGGCAGAGGATTCCCCAATCCCAAATTGATGTATTCCGACCAGACCTCTTTAGAAAGGAGGGGAGATAAAATGAAGCCCAGGGAGGATGCATTACTCCATCGACGACGCGAAACATTTCTGCTGCTCCTTTGTTGTTGACTTTGCTTTGAAAGAACTATACGGAATTAACTCTCTACTCAAACATGTTGTGTTACTTTGCAAAGCTACGCTCTAACGAGGAAGTAAGTATTCTGCACAACTCGGGAATCAACTTCGATCCCGCTTAAGATGACCCCAAATAACAAAAAATAATAAATAAATCTCCTCTGCTGGCATGAAAACAAAATACCTACCATTGACTGAGCTCTTAGGATTTTTTTTTATCAATCTCATTTATTGTCATATTGACCCTGCAAGAAAATATTAGCTCTTAAATCAGTGTCCAAATTTAAAAAAAAATTAAGAATCACCAAACTTCTAAAAACTTCTAATTTTTGAACAAATTAACTAAAAATCAATTAACCGTTAAAAAAAATAGCCCTTTACAGGTAAGAAACTGAGGCTGAGAGAAGTTCTGTCACTTGCTTGTTTGTCTAAGGTGATGAAAGTAGGGGCAAGTAGAGCTGAGAATCAGATCCAGGCCCAATGCGGCTGACCTGGGTTCAAGTCCTGCCATCCCATAGGATCCCATTACCCCTGCCAGGAGTGCTCCTTGAGAACAACACCAAGAATGATCTCCTGGGCATTGCTGGGTATGGCCAAAAAAATAAAAAAGTGTTGGGGATGGGAGTGGGGGGAAGGGGGCACTTTCACCCTTGCTTTGCCTTTTCTAATTTCTTTCTCATTTTTCCCTCTGTCACACCTAAAAGTGCTTGGGTACCCCTGGCCTCCGGCAAGCAAAGCACCCCGTGGCCCCAGAAGCCTCATCACCATCCCTCTGATTCCTTAGACAAGGTAACAGTGCTGAGACTGCTCAAGGGACGCTCTTACTGCTCTTATTTTTATTTTTTGCTTTTTGGGTCATACCTGGCCATACTCAAGGATTATTCTCGGCTCTGCATTCAGGAATGACTCCTGGCGGTGCTGGGCGAGAGGGGGGGGACCATATGGGATGCCGGGGATCGGATCCAGCTCGGCTGTGTGAAAGGCGAACACCCTACCTGCTGTCCTATTGCTCGGGCCCCATTATTGCTCTTATTTAATTGTGACTAAAACAACATTTTCATTTCCTCCAGACGAAAAAGAAACTGAGAACGCAAATCCAAAAGCTGAGAAAGAGTGGCCCGCCCCAGCCCCCCTGCTGCTCAGGTCTGGGTCAACAGAGGCGAGAATTTCTGGCGGGGGAGCCAGTGCTCCCTCAGAAGCTCCACATCCCAGACACTTCTCACTTCCCATCACTCAGGGTCTTCAGCTAAGGCCCATTCTAGAAACAAAACTGGTTAGTCTCTGCGCCAAAAATCCCTCAAGTTCTGCAAAAGGACCTCTTGTGAAATAAAAGAGTCAACATCTTTTTTTTTTTTCCCCTTGAGTGAATACTTGCTTAAATGTTCTAGGGAAAGAAAATGACAACTGTGCAGGATCCTATGGGTGGGGGCGACACGCCGAAACTCCAGCCTTGTTTATGCTGTTAGACGAGGCACTCATTCAGCACCACGTATTAATTTTCTGACTTCTTCCCCAGTCCTGAATTTCCAGGTAAATAATCCGAAGGAAGAAGAGTCCTGATGAAGGTCCACCTAAAACGACTCTCCCTCGGACATCTATCTAATTCCAGACTGGGGGCTGGAGAGAGAGCACAGCGGGCAGGACACCTGCCTTGAGTGCAGCAACCTAGCTTCCATCCCCAGCATCCCACGGGGTCCCCTGAGCCCCTGATCAGGAGCGATCCCTGAGTGTAGCAGAGCCAGGAGTAATCCCTGAGTATCACCAGGTGTGGCCCAGAAATCAAAATAAACAAACCCAGATACCCAGACTTATATCCAAGCTGTATGTGAAAATTTAAAGGGGGGAGGGGAGGAGATACTCTAACTACTCTAACGCCAGGGGCCATCCAGAGCACAGGGCAATGAACAGCTCCTGAACACTCCTGAATGTGGCCCTAACACACACACACAAACACACACACACACACACACACACACACACACACACAAAACGATTTTTTTAAATAAAGTAAAAACTTCAAGAAGGGGATCAGAGAGATAGTCTAGGAGTTAAGACACCTGCCTTGCATGCAGAGAACTCCATTCAATCCCTGGCATCTCATGGCACCCCAGAGCACAGTTTGGGGTGTCCCCTAAGTACCACCGAGTGTGGCCCCCAAGTTCCCTTTTTGCAAAATTTTAAGATTCCTCCCACATGACTTTCTCTCAGATTTAATCAGCAGGATAACTCTTTTCTTTCTTTCTTTCTTTTTGGGTCACACCCAGCAATGCTCAGGGGTTACTCCTGGTTCTGCACTCAGGAATTACTCCTGGTGGTACTTGGGGGACCATATGGGATGCTGGGAATCAAACCTGGGTCGGCCGCGTGCAAGGCAAACACCCTACTCACTGTACTATTGCTCCAGCCTCATCAGCAGGATAACTCTTAAACAGAAAATTTGTTTTTCTTTGACTTCCAAGCATAAGTTCAATTCACTGGGACTATGCAAAAGAAACCAAATTCCTTTCATAACCCACCATTGCTTCAATTACCTGGAGACAACCCTCCTGCACCTTCTAATTTGCAGTTTTTTTCTTGGCTGAACAATACTAGTTCCTTTGATCTTTTAACATGGAGAAAAGTGACAGTGTCTCACAGAAGGGAGCAAAGCAGGCTGAGAATATTTAAGCCTGGGGTAGATATGCCACTGGCATTCCATGGAATACATCTCTTCATTCTCACTTTACATTCTGAAAAATGAAACAATCTTCCCAATACTTCAAAATAAAACCTAGATTCTTTCATGTTTCTAAATTAGAATTCAGATATCAATACACTCCTCCTTCAGAAACACTCAGGTCATTCCAGAGTCAAAATGTTCCTTATTGCGGGGGCTGGAGCAATAGCACAGCAGGTAGGGCATTTGCCTTGCACGCGGCTGACCCAGGTTCGATTCCCGGCATCCCATATGGTCCCCCGAGCACCGCCAGGAGTGATTTCTGAGTGCAAAGCCAGGAGTAAACCCTGAGCATCGCTGGGTGTGACCCAAAAAAAAAAAAGAAAAAAAAAATGTTCCTTATTGCAAGAGACCTGCAAACTCTACAATACTGACAGTCACAAGGGTGCCCACCGAGTTAGCTGGAAAGTAGCACAGAAGCCCACTAAGTTCAATAAACAAAACACTAACACAGAAGACTCAACTAGCAACAACAGCTTAGTAAACCCTCAAGACAAGGAATTAATGTCCCCTTGGTGAGATATAATTTCCACAAATTTTCGTTTAGTTTTTTGTTGTTAACTCCTTTCGTCATTTGTTTCTAACCAGCAATATAAAATAGATTATTGGGCTGGAGCAACAGCACAGCGGGTAGTGCGTTTGCCTTGCACGCGGCCGACCCGGGTTCAATTCCCAGCATCCCATATGGTCCCCTGAGCACCGCCAGGGGTAATTCCTGAGTGCAGAGCCAGGAGTAACCCCTTTGTCGGGTGTGACCTAAAAAGCAAAAAATAAAATAAAATAAAATAGATTATTTGGTGCCTGCTAAGAGGGCAGATTTGGAGCGGTGGTTGGGAAAATGTGGACAATGGTGGAGGGACAGTCACAGAGGTGATGGAATTGGGGTTGGAATATTGGAATATTCAATGCCTGTAATGAAGAGGTCATGAACAACTTTGTAAGTCAGTGTTTCAATAAAGGAGGAAATTGTTAAATCTTACTATCGATAAACGTTGCCAAGAAGTTAAGCTTCACATTTTACTGACACCACTTAAATGAATCCAATCAATATGAAGTCAGCACCTTTGGCAGTAGTGTCTTTACAGGGGGAAGGAAATCATGTGTGAGAATGTTTACAGACAGTCTGCAGCAGCGAGACCTTAGTTCAACCCTGGCTCTGCCACTCAGAGCTTGCAGGAACCTTGGTTTCCTCATTCACAGACTTAAGCTCGTCCAAAGGGGTGAAAGCAGTACCACACGACATAAAACATTAAGTGAAGATACACAAGACCAGTTCACGTAAAAATACTTAGCAATACGATGAGTAGAATGCTTGCCTTGCACGTGGCTGCTCCGGATGTGATCCCTGGCATCCCATATGGTTTCCCAAGCCCCCAGGAGTGACTCTT